AAGCGATTAGGATATCCGTACACTTACCTAACAGAACCAGATAAGTTTTGGAATAATGTGATAGGGATGAATGAGACAATGTTCAGTTTGTTTGAATCTGGTAAAAACAAAGTGGTATGATGTAAGATTAGTAAAGAACTTTTGCCTGAATGTATTCTACCAAGAGTGCAACATGAGGTAGAAGCATGAAAGTTTACAGATGTATGAGCATAACCGAGTTAGGTGATTTAGTCTTTATTGGAGAAACAATGACTAGTGAAGTGTTCATTACTTCCATCTACTCAACGTCTATGTATGCCAAAAAAAATTCTTTTACAGATGGATGATAATCTAAAGCACAAGGCTCAGATTGTGACAGAATAAATTTTTGTCTATAGATATTGAATGTTTGCCATAGCCTTCTAGTTCTTCTGATTTAAACTCGACAGAACACTTGTGAGGTCATATTGAATGAGAACTTCGAAAAGAACTAGTAAAAAAATCTCTTGTCATTCATTTTTTTCTACATCTGACGGCTCTATAATGAACTTTTTCCAGCTTATGAAGAAAGAAAATTTCACTATTATCGATATCGTACGAATAATTTGTTACTCCAACTTGTATTGATGACGTATCAATCAGTTGGAATTTAAAAAAAGATTATAGAAACATAGTTATCAAGCCAAAAGAGGGAAACAAAGAAAACAACAGTTGGTTGTAATCAGTATAAATGATTGACATTGTTAAAAGCTTGAAATAATCCAGTTATTTGATCTTATCATTTCGAAGATAGAACAATCAATTAGAGATATGCTCAAAATTCTTCATTAGCGATCATGAAGAAAAGTGAAATGGATTCCTTTTCATTAGTATTGACATTACTTTTTATATGGGCTGTGTGTGCAGTAGATATGATCCTTCAATCACCGACACAATTTATCATAACTAATCAAGATATAATTTATTATCACAAAAATAAAGAATGGAATCTAAAAAAAGTTCATGAAGTTTCGGTTTCAGTATTTTTATTTATGGTAGAAGAATCATTTGTATTGCCATCATCTTCAATAATGATATCTTCTGGATCAGGTGCACGTGCTAAAAATTCTTCACCATTTGAATATATTTGATGGAAAATATTTCGAGCCTGAAATCGAATATAAGATTTTATAAAAGGAAAAACATTGAAAACAAACCGTATTCACAGCGCTATCATGATCAACAGAACCATCCGGTCCATGAGTAAGTAAAAGTTTAAAAACTGGTGATGATGTTGATGTCGATACTGTTTCTACTTGATCAAAAGATAATTGTCCAAGAATGTTAGCTCGAGTAAAGTTATCTAAAAATAAATGTATAAATAAAACTTTTAAATATAAATCTAGTTAATTGACCTCCTGTTAACTTCAACAATCGTTCAACCATTTGATTAATATCTTCCTGAGGTTTTTCTTGGAAAATATATAAAAGAACTAAAACAAACAAACGAATCCTTAAAATTGTCAAAAAAGAATATTTAGGGCATGATAAAAGTAGTGGCAAATGTTTTTATTCCTTACAAGAGCTTACTCTCTATATGACCTGATAGTAAAAAACCATGCTCTACATTTCTGTGATATTTGGTCATTCTTCAATTCATATTATTATAATATAATTTCAACAAGAGCTGTTTGTTATAATGTGTGATGATAATATTAGTTTATATTTTATCTTCGATGTATATTCTCTTCTTTATTCAAAGAATTCATACATACTATATGGTATCACATCTAGAGAATCATTTTAAGTAAAAATTGGATGAACTTATTTCTGTATTGTTCTTTTGCTACTATTTTTTCTATACTCTAATATGTATAGATGGTTAGGAGGCCTAGATATCGGGTCACTTTTTGATGATTCGATGTAGATCAAAATAGGACTATTAAAAGTATATTTCTTCTATAAAAAGAATTTCTACACAATGAAACATCACATTTATTAGAAAATTGTTAATAGTTTATTATCATAGTAATCACGAAGTGAATACGATTGGATACGTGTGAATGCTTGAAAAAATAACATGAGAGATAAGCCGAATTACTTCTTGAAGACTATCATATGTTTAGACAAGTTTTCACGAGTAAACTGCTCGCTGATCAGCTTCAAAGAATTAGACGGTTTACTAATTTAAGTTACATTGTTTTACTTCAGCAATACTCATGACATTTAATGCAGTTTATAGTGCATTCGATCTCGTGTGTAGATGAGGAACGTCATTGAACCGAATAAATGTTGTTTTTATTTATTGACTAAATGAAACATCAGAATAACAACGATGATAACGGCGCTATTTGATTCTGATTTTTCAGCTTTAAAAAATAGATATCAGTTAATTTAAGTTCTGTTTTGGTCGATTGAAATCAGACTTTTCCTGTTATCCTACATGAGAAATCTTCCTTTTAAAAAAGAAATAAAGTTCGGGCCGAGTAGTCCAAAAGAAAAATTCTCTGGGTTGGATGGTTCATTTTGAGCTCTGAAGGTTAAGCATTAGAGTAGATGACAAAGAAAAGAGAAGAGATATAGAAGACAAAATATAATTTAATATTATCGTCACATATCATAACAGACAACTCTTGTTGAAATTTGACAGTAAGTTATTATAAGAAATTAAAATACCTTCGTCACTACTTTTAGTATACTAGAAGTATAATTTTTTACATACAAAATCCATCTGGTGTACATCCTGATCCACTGCCAATTTCAATTATATGAATTCCAGATTCATTTGGACCACTAAGACGAAGATATGTGATCTATAATTCACAATTGAACATGGCAGGAAAATTTTAAATTGCATCCTACTTCATCTTTTTCACTTGATTTAATCGATTGATTTGTAAATAAAACTGCTCGATGAATAACATTTCTATTTGATGATGTAGATTCCATAAATGAATTATTACAAATAACAGCATCTTTAGCACGAAATCTTTCTCCTGTTGTTGCTACAACACCAGAACATTGATTAGCTGATGAGTCAATTGTAAAACCAGCTAATGGAAAACGTAGAAAATAAGTACCACCAAAAACAGCACATAAACGACAAAAACATTGACTCATTTCACCATTTCCATAGAGTGGATAAAGAAATGGTGAATTACCATAACGTCCTATGGAATCTAAATATCGTTTTGCTTTAATTACACCCTAAATTCAAATCGTTATAATTATTTAAAAAAAAATAAACAATAAAAAAGTACTTCTTTTGTTGTTGCATTATAATCAACCATAGAAATTGAATTAATAATTAAATGACAACGTGCATCATTTAATTTTTGTTTTTTTAAATATTCAATAAATGGAATATTTTCATCTAGATTTAATTGGTAAAATTTTATTATAAATATAGTATAAATTAAGTTTACCTTCATTTAAATCTTCAATTGTCATTGATGAAAAATTCATTAAAGCTTTCATTAATAAACGTTTACCAACAAGACTAATATCACTTGAATTAAATACATCGGCTCGTGAACTTGGTACCTAGATAGATAAACACAAGTCTTCATTTTGATTTAAATATTTTTCTTTAAATTACATTAACAAGTTGCCGATAATGTTCAAGTAAAAGACGAGAAACAAGTTTAAATTCACAATATTTACCCACATTTGATTGAACAAGAAGATCAATAAGACCACCGGTTGCATAATACAGCTAAATACATAAATATATGTATATATTTGAATATCTTCAAAGTTCAATTAGATGATCTTATGCGTTCTATAATGATTGTTTTATTTGAAGCTTGACTTTTTTAAAAACGTATAATTCTTTACATTAGTGAATATTATTTAGTATGAATTAAGCGCATGCAAGATATTTTTTTCATTTTTTTATTAATAAAAGTATTCAAACAGGCATTTTCTTAATCGGATGCAAAAACTCGATCGTTGTGTTGATGAAATTCACGAGCATCAAGTTTAGACATGTATGAGACGAGTTGTCTTTAGTTCGGGTCCCAGTCAAATAAAAGGTTTTTTTTTATAAAAATATATAATACAGTAAGACTTTTATTTTCGTTTTCTCCTCGTAGAAATTTTAAGTAGAACCAGAATGTAACTCTTTTCAACAAATGCATTATACACTAGTTAAAAATCACAATAGAAACTTTTATTCATACTAACCTTAGGTGTTAAATCAATATTAAATTTTCTTGATTGTTTTTCCAATACATCTAATGTCATTTTTGGAGTATCATTTTCAGTTGTTGATGATTGTTCATTAGTTTTTCTTTACAATCAATGACAAAATAAAGTTTTTCTTTTTTTTCTCTATATATCTTTATTCTTACTCAATATTCCATTTAAGTTGTATATTACGAAAAACATTTAATGGGTTACTAATTGGCATAATTCTTTCATTATCATCTTGTGAACTAACAGCTGTCTATAAAAATAAGAAAACATATGCATATATCGACTTTCGGTTTTAGTTATTTATGAATATACCACGGGATTTTCCTGTATTTGAGTCCATTCAATTAAACCATTCAATGAAAATGATGCCCATTCAGAACCATAATATTCATTCCTATATAAAATAAATCATTTTGATATATTTTTTCTTCATAATATCGTACGTATCGATATGAAGTACAGTCTTTCCAATACGAGCACATGCAGCTGCAAGAATACTTTCGACTATTCCTATATAAAAAATCTTCTATAAAAATTATAAAAAAAATAATTTAATTAAAATACCTGTTCCAACAACAATAATATCATATTCATTAGGTAATCCTTCGAACATCTCTTATCTAAAATAAACTAAATAGTATTTTTTATAAGAAATTCTCTTAATGGTTAAATTCTTCTTACAAATAAAAAATTTGTCTACGTGTCGCCACATTGATCACTTCCCCAATGACTCATATGGTATCCTCGTTCGTTTTCAATCGATAAAAAGAACTGTTCTGTTTTGTTTTTCTTACTATTACTATTATTTTCAATAACCCATCATTATGACAAACGGTCATTCATCAATGGAAATCGATGAAAATGATGAAATTTTATATGAAATTGATGTTGAACTTCATCGAACAAAACAATCCATATATTTATTTCAATATCCAATTCGACCATATTATCGAAAATATGATGAAACATCATTTACGAGTGCAAGAATTAAAGAAAAACATTCACTTGTAGAAATGGATTTACTTATTGATACACAATCACCAAATTATTATTCAACAAGAGGAAAACAATTTGCTGATAATACAAATCATGAGAATAAAAATCAATTTTTTAATAGTGACCATATGGATAAACAAACAATTGCATCATCAAATTCATCTGATGGTAATAGAAAAAGATTTTTTTTTTCATATAAAAAAATGTTTCTAAAATTAGGTCTATTGATTGCAGTCGAGACAATTGTTGAAATCTTAAAAATAACATGTCTTATGTCCGCTTTTTATTTGTTGAGATTAGTTCGTTATCTCTCCCTATGTACATCATTTGTGTCTATACTTTGTTAGATGGTATGTGTGGATAAAAAGAAAACTCATCGTTTAGTACATTTATTTCTTTTTGAAAAACAAAATAAAAATTTGTCTTAACTCTTCAAGGTAATACGTATCATGACATTTTCCTTAAGTAAACATGATCTATTGATTGATTGATGCAATCGAATGAAAGTCATACATGTTGAAAATTTGATGATTTTTAGAGCATTTTTAATAGTTTGTGGCTTTTTTAAATAATTTTTATACGATCACCTTGAATGGTATGCCAAACAAAAGAAGAATTTTATTATTTCAAATATTATATAAAAGCTTTTGATTTTAGTCTAAAATTTTCATAAGAGAACATATAAAACGATTTGTTTCAAAGTAGTCTAATTAAAATACAAAACCATCAAATAGTCGGAAGTTCTCCAACTGACAAATGTGCATTATGTAGACCTACATGGGCTATAAGTATCTTGAAAAGAGTTTGTGCTCTAAGCTTATTACTGCAGCGAAACTGTACTTTAGCGGTTTTTTTAAAATGTAAATGTTGTGGTAACAGAAAAATTTGCTTTCGAATTTCGATCGGAAAGTTTTTGGTATTTTGATTTGCATCTATCTTAAAATAAGTGACAAAATCTGAAACATTCATAGCAACATACACATAGTCTCGATTGAAAAATCGATTTATCAGTTGAAGGAATTCCATCGTAAGTAGAAAGTGCTGATGTGCGACATACAACGATGGACTGTGATAAAGAAGGAGTCTCTTCATCAAATATTTCAGAAAAAACTTAAGGAATTATCATGTAATCGAAAATTTCCTTTCAGGATATCCTCTATTTCGTAACCCAATACTTTTCTTACTTTTGTTTTGCAATTTACGTAATAGAAATAGCAAAAACTGTACATTGTTTGAAATCGGTATTATTTTGGTTTCGAAAATCATTGTTCTGCTGAGTTTTGGTAGCTCTATTAAAAAAATCCATACCTTTTTTAGGGTATCTTCAATATTTATTTGAAGGACAAAAAAAAAACAATCAAAAATTTCAAACAGTGCCTAGTGTTTGGAAATAAAAATTTCAACTCGATCGAGCATAGTATCTTCTTCTCATCAATACCTAATTGTCTCCAAAATTAGAAATTCTTCTGATGAGCCGTTCTCCCGAAATCCCGACAAGGAAAGAGTCCTCTTAGTTCCTATTTCCATAGATTATAATCTTAGATACAATAAGTTTACATTTTTTCTAGCTGATAGTTATTTCGTTGGTTTATTCGACAGTATAAGTCGTCATTTAATTCTCTGCCCATTAAAATCTGTTATTCAATTTCGACCACAATTTAATTATCTTGATACAACACCATCGTCAGCAACTAGTTCAAATTTAACCAAAGATGCAAGTTTTATTGATGATGATCAAATGAATGCAAGTGATGGTGAACAATCGGGTAGTGAAAGTGAAGAAACTAAACCAGAACCTGCTGGAAGTTTAGTAACAATGAAATTCGAAAAAAAAGAAAGTGAATATCATAAAAAGAAACATCTTCAATCATATAATTATTATCGACAAACACGTGATAATGAACGTTGGCAAGATCTTATTTGTATAATGAATGCTCATTCATTAGATGGTCAACGTATTCGTGAACAATTTCTATCATATAACAATCAATCTACAACAACTAACTAACATTTGGCTTTTGTTTTTTGTGATACTTTTTCTTTTTCTAACCGATACACAACGGTGATTTCTATTTCATTGTTTGACGTGAATTTTGTTTTATTCTAGATGGATAATTCGTTAGACTTACCTAGTGAATCTCCTCTATCAAATTCTATTCTAAAAAATCGGCCAACACCTATTACTAGAACAAAAATAAAACCAACAAATAAAACACCTTTGACTATCGGTCTTGATGATGCTGTACCACTTGAGGGTAAATTTATATATATATATATACATACTTTTTACCACAAAAATAAAATATTTGTACAGAAATTGAGAATTACGTTTTATCTTTGGTTTTTATTGGCAAAAGAAAATTTGAAGTTAACACTCGGTAGTATCAACTTTCAGCTTCGTATTTATGTGTCATCAAGTTTTACATTGCATTTTAATATGATAGAGCAAAGGGGTAGGGAAGGAAATTACTCAAGTCGCAAAACCATATTAAATACGTATTAATATGTGAAAATGTCGACTAAAGGAATTGATTTCCCAGTAAAAAAGAGTACCCTACGTTTTGGTTACCTTGTGAGATATAAGACGTTGCTCAAAAGCAGTTTACCTAACCCAATATTTTCCTTACAGCTATGCATAGCTGTAGCTCTGAACAGAAGACCAGCGTGAGTTAGAAATGTTACATATTAACTAGCCACAACGTAGTTAGCATGGTATCGAACGGGTAATTCGAGATGAATAAACGTTGGTAACTTGTCTAGGATCATTCCATGATTGGTGACACCCATTTGTTTACCCCCTTTCCCTCAAAAGAAATGGAGGAAATAAGAATTGAACAGTTTTCATTAGCCGAAAAAAAAATCTCCGTTGTTATAGTGCTCCCTCCTATTTCAAGACCATTTATCTCTTTGTTAAATAAATTCCTGTAAACATTTCCTCTAGTTTCCATCATACAGTCATTGGTATATGTTTTTTGTTCAACAATTAATTCATTTTCTATCATCACATTTTATTGATTCATGATCTATATCTATTGTTTGTCAAACTGAGACTTACAATTACTTTTAAAACACATATGTATCAACGAGAAAGAAGTTCTAATAGAATATTATTGGTAAAATAGACCTTTGAATGATTGTTTACAACTAATATTCTCTGATTGTCTATTCTCTATAATTATATATTCGAATTTTTTAATTAGATTCTCATGTTGTTGAAAACCCAATTCATGTTGCAAATAGACAACTTTTATCGAACAATGCAAAGAATGATGATTCTAATGTTGTATTTCGTCAAAAAAAGCCTTATTCATCAAATAGATACAATATTTTAGCATGTTTACCACAAGAAAATAATAATAATAATATTTACTCAAATACATTAAATCTATCTGATAAAAATCTATTCTATGTTACTTCCTCCATATTTGATGATGATTCAAATTCTCATTCGTCTTCAGGCCAGACATTATTATCGGTAAATAATTTCTCAATGACTTTGTTTTGTTATCAATAGTTAAAAGAATATTTATGTTTGCACGTCATTTTTACATCATAGGAACGAAAGAAAGAATGAGAAAAGTAATGCTCGTTTATGTTTTCTTTTCTTTAATAGCTGCTTAATATTTCATGTGAAAAAAAAAAAGAAAGATGATTATTAGTTGATTGGAGATTTAGTCTAGTTAATTTAACTAAAGAATTTCAATAAATTAATTATTGGTTTTTCTTTGTTTAAGCAACATGAAGAAAAAAATTTATTTATTTCAAATATTAATCAACAAAACAATCAATCAGTACGCAACGATGAATTAAATAAAAAGTAAATATTTGAAGATAAATTACAAAATTCATCAGCGATAGATTCAAAATATAAAAAAGGAGCTTTTCATTTCTTTTTCTTTTTGTTTTCTTTAGTTCTCCATTACAACCGATGAATACAAAACCCAATTCAGTTTCAAGTTTAATTGATAATTTTTCAAATTCATCAATATGTAGTGATGATGATTCAATTGTACCGAGTAAAGAAACAAACTAATTGTGCTAGAAATTTTAAAAAGGATTTATAGAAAAAAAACAACACACATGAGTTATTTAATGATGTTAGAAAATAATATTCATAGGCTTTTTTGTAAATTAAGATCAAACAACAGTTTATCTCGATAGAGTACGAGAAAATTCCAGTAATTGTCGATGTGCTGATTGTAATTTTGAATATCCAACAATTGCAATTATGTCTTGGCTATTAGTGATATGTAAAAGATGTGCTGGTATGTCGATCTTCAATTGATTTCTCTTTTTGTATTTTTGTATTTATAATAGTTATTCATCATCGTTTAACATCAAATTTTCTTCGTCTTCAATCATTGATGACTAATACATGTGATTCAGATTTAATTGATCTGTTTCATGATTATGGTAATCAATTTGCGAATAGTTTATTGGAAAATAATTCTTCAATAAATTCCAAACCAAATACTAATTCAACAGAATTCGAACGTAAACAATATATAAGAAAAAAATATATTGAAAAAATTAATCTTCGACCATATCAATCAAATCAACAAACTTATACAAAAGATCAACTTAATAAAATGTTATATGAAAATGTTGAAACAATAGATTATAAAAAGACATTGCATTTAATTATGTTAGGAGCTGATCCAAATTATTCAGAAAAAAATTTTTCTGTTGCAGATCATGCTCAACGACATCAACAGATTAAACAAATGAAAATTATTTTAGCTAATGGAGGTAGAATTTTAATTTTAAAACATATCAAGTAAACATTGATATCAATGAGAGAAACAGCTGACATGGACTAGCGAAATCAATCAATCGATAGAAATACTATGTGCGCTTAGTATGACTCATGGACACGATAGAATGAATAAGAATAACAAAGTTAAAATACCAGCTGTATTTCTCTTTGATCGAAACATTTTGAAGAATAGTTACGAAATCATAGAATTAATTGCTTTTTTTTCTCAGTAGTTTGAATCGAAAAGTTAGGACATATTTGATATTTTCATCGTGATTGACACAATGTTTTATTTAGAGTGGAATGATGCTCCTATATTGAATGGAACACTATGTGAGAGTTTTCTATGTTTTGAAAGTCGGTCATCATCTTCTGAAACTTTCAACTCACTTATCCAAAAAGAAAAGTTTTGCAGAGAACAGTAATTTGCAATAAAGAAAAAAAAACTGTAATCTTCTTTTAAAAGAAGCATACAAAGTAGAAGTTGTATTAGATTCTAAAATGACTAACTCATGCAGAGCATTAATATTATACAAGACATTTAACCCAGCATCACTTATATGTGAGCAACTTCTTTCGTTAGAGACGTGAGTGAGTATGAATATAAAAACGAAAAATCTTCTTGTCATTGAATGAGAAATTTAAAAATCAGTTCTGAGAGGTACGAATCCTTCTTGAGAACTTCAAGATGATAGTAAAACAAAAAATCTTGTTCATTGATACGAGCAGAACTCTACAAAACCGATCTTTTAGAATTTGATCTTGCTGACAATTTTGTCATAGATCTACTTTGTGCTATTAAGTCTATTTTAATATTCTTGAAGTTAGAGAGTTATTTGCTAATAAAGTTTTATGCAATTCACTAATTGGCTAATTAAGTTTAATTAGATGTAAACTGAAGGATCCGATATTTCAATATATGAGCATAGTCATTCATAAGCGACATCATTTCACCAGATAAAAGCACGTGCATCTTTGGATAATTTTTATATGCTACGTCGATGTGAAGATAATGTAGTTGCTCTGAAAAACTCGTTACTAGAAACCTTTGTTCAGAGAAACTATCAGTAAAAAACTAGTGCTAACGACGCGACACAAAAGAAGACATCGACTTTCACTTCATACATTTTAGTTCTAACAAACTACGCATTGAGACAACATTTTTGAAAACTCTATAATATATTCTTTAGACAATTTCTGAGGTTACAGTCTCTTTTCTGAGCACGTCTCGATTTTTCAAAAAGAAACTTATTTAATTTTCATTAGTGACATAACATAGTACAAATATATAAACGAAGAAATGCTTCTATAACCGAACGAGAAGTTCAAAACCAATTCCAAATAGCCCAAATTCTTCTTCAGAATCTCTAAATAATAGCAAGACAAAAATTTTTATTTCGAAACTTGGAAAGATCTCTAGAAATTCATTTTTTAAGAAAAAGTTTCTATAAATCTAGTCTTGATAAAAATAAATGTATGGAAAGATACCCAGGCAGACAGCGAAACGAATAAAACGGTGTTTAAACATTCCAATATGTAAACTATTTAAACAGTGTCATATGTCGCCAAAAACACGTTAAAACTGTTTATGGAAAAATAACTTTCAACATGTTTTACATGTTTAAACGCGTGGAATCATTGAAATTTTAACTGTTTTAACGTGCTTTTTGCGACTAATGACACTGTTTAAACAGTTGAAATAATTTCCATTATAACTTCTCTTAATGATCAACAAACGTTTCATCTAAACGATGAAGTGCCAACAATTTATAACTAAATTCTTTTCTCATTGATATNAGGGTAGATATTGTCTCAGATGATAAAAAACAAAGTGAATATACCTGTTCACTTTTTGAAGTACACATAACACTCGGATTTAAATCCGATGTTTTCGCATTTATTTTTTATATTCTTGCTGTATTAAAATCAGTCTTCTGCATTTATGTCTCAAAGCATCGAAATAAATCTTCATGAAACTTTTATCATAGGCATCTTTGCTCTTTTGAATTGCCTATAGATAGGAATTAATCATCTCATGAAATAATTTTATATTCATTATTTTAACTGTTTTCTATTTTTGAAAAGAGTTTTTCTAATTCATTAAGTAAATTTTGTTCAAATTAGAAAAAGTCTGAAAGAAAATCTTGGCCATGGATTTCTCGTCTTGAATTATGACTATTTTAGTGACTTTACTAACAAAATCCTATACCCTGACGCAGAGATCACTTTCAAAAACTGTTTTCAAGTTTTTATTTTTTTGACAAAATAATCATCTTAATAGAATTACTATTCGTTTCGAAACTATAATGTGTTCCACTATTTTTTGAATAACTTTTCATGAAAATATCATAGACATTGGCGATTTTCTTCATCATCCAACAGAGAAGACTCTAAACATAATGACCTTTGATTACTTAGAAATCTACCAATCGGGTGAGTGCTTGGCTGGATTTTACAAAAAAACGATATTCGAAAGTTATCTCTTTTGTGCTTTAGATTTCTAAGAGAACTAATCAATAGAAAAAATTCTTCTCGTTCGATCTACACAAGACCGACATTCATAGCTTGTTCCGTTCGAGAGTTATAAAACTTTTTCTAACACCTTCTGTTTCAACCAATTGGCCTGAGATCACCTGAAAAAGTCACTTTTGCTGAGTCAAATGATGATATTTGATTTTAAGTTCGAACTGACCTTATACTGTTATCTAAATATTTTCGAAATATTGACTCTTTCATCATATGAAGACTGATTGTGAAATTTCAGAACGAATAAGATAACCGAGTCAGATTATTTTGAAATTAAAAAATAAATATCACTATTCGACTCAGCACAGTGAGTTATTTCTACGAAGCTGTTTTTTCTGTTGATCCCCTTGTGTAGATCAAAAGAAGACAATTTTTCTATCAATTAGTTCTATTAAAAATCTAAATCGAAAAAGAAATAGGTTCAAAATATTGTTTTCGAAAATTTCCATCAAGAATCTACCTGATTGATAATTCAAGACGAAAGATTCGCATATATGATTTCTTTTAGGTGTTTTTTTCTAGTCTTAACAAGAAGTACTTAATAAAATAAAAGGTATATCTCAAAACTAATATATTACTTGGTGCAGCTCCCTTGTTAGATCAGTATTAATATTAATCGACAAAAGTCTTCATTGGCTGTATGTTTTATTTCACATCACGCAAAGAAAAATGCCAGTTTTAGTATTTTGTCTAGTAAATCTATTATGGGAATTCTAATTGATCTAATTCCGAAAATTCGTATATACACACTTGGATTCATGAATATAAAATAAGCATTTTTTTATGCATTAATTCTTCCATATAATAGATTTCTAGGAATTAGTCAACTATCGAACATACTTATGTTCTGTATTTATTTTATTTTGTTGAATATTCCATTGCTTCATATAGAGAAGTTTCTTTTCGTTGTCTTCTCGCTTTTGTTCTGATACAGTTCAAAATAAATTCTACGTAACTTATATTAAAAAACATGCACTTATCATAAAAATGATAAAAGTCTCAGTGCATATATTTCTAGAATGTGCGTTAATAATATAAATACGTAGATTTCTAATAAACTTTGCACTTTTTTATTCTTTCTTCCTTTCCAACAGTAAAAAAAGGAAACGTGAGAAAATATCACTTCAAAATCATATGCGATAATCATGTTTTCTTTTTTTCTTCAAACAATTAACTTTGATTTTTAAAACAGAACAAAAAATTTGTTTAACTTTTATCATTCTCACAGCCAATGAAGAAGAAAACTACACTTTTTTTTTTCTTTTGTTTGCTTTTAATTAGCTTAAAATTTATCGAGTATCGAATAATATTAATGAAAAAACACTTAAAGCAAAATTAAGTCTCAATCAACAAGAATTAGATCAACAATCATCCATTTATTCATGGTCTGTTGAAGATATTTATCTTTATATTGGAGCTGATTGTCGTTTTGTTGATCCATTTGATATGAATCAATATCGAGTATTAACGATATTACCTCCTGATAATAATGAACCGAATCATACTGAATCACCATTTGGCATATCATTTCGTTTTTCTGATCGTAATCAAATGTTTGCTTGGTATCTTGAATTAGTTCATATTAATGGTCATGATAAATGGACTCGACAAGCATCACGTTCAATACCAGATGGTATTAATTATTTACCATTACAAAATTATCATACACCATCATCATCAATGTTAGCAAGAAAAAAATCTGATGTATTCAAAAATAAATTTATTGCTAAAGGATGTCATGTTGCTTCAAATTTTTGTAAACAATTGCGCAAATGAACAATCTTATTTTATCATCAAAGGAGCGTTGTTTTTTTTTTTCTTTCTCAATTGATTAATAATCTCATTGATATAATCTTCTTTTTTTATATATACGTGGTTTTTTCCCATTTGCAAAGTTACTGTAGATAAATTTTGCTTTATCCCATTTCTATTGATATGTGTTAATATAATACAAGCAAAATATTTCAAAAAAGAAACATTCCAATAATTATTTCTTTTTTAGATGTAGACAAAATTTATTAATTTTATTAATAAATCGAATGAATTTTATAAATAGTAGTAGTCAAACAATCAATTTGTAAAAACAAAAAGTCAGTATAAAATTTATAAATTTATAATAGACGTTATTAGTTATTTATAGTTTTGTATGTTCTTTCACTCAGACCGTACTGAAAAGATATATTTTCCACTAATTGGTTATATAGTACTTATTTTGGTTACCTGACACTTTAGTCGTATTATAAAACTTTGTATTTTTTATTAGTCCTTGTAGAGATTGTTTTGTTTTGTTCTATGAAATCGTCTATGAACTTGATTTTTCTGTTATATTTTACAGATCCATATTTAAAAACAAAAATAGATAAGAAACGATACTTATTGTTTGGATAATAATGAATGACTTCAACAGTTTAAAGTTTTTAAGTTCTTTTTTACATGTTGGTAAAAAGGAAAAATAAATAGGTCGATCAAATTTTCGTTTACAATAAAAGTGGAAAAAAAAGTGTTACATAACCGTCTCGTGGCCTATAACATAAATGTATGTGATGTCGTAATCATCCGAACAAGGACATAGAAAGCGGGTAACGCACGCAAAGTAGAAAAAGTATGTCAGTCAAAACGAGAGAGAATAGGAAAGAAATAGAGAACGAGCGAATAGACAGTGCTCACGTAATCAGTTCTTTCTTGTCCGAGGTCGATTTCTTCTATTTCAAGAACTATTTTATGCAGGAAAAAAAAGAAACATTTCAATAAATATTCATACAATTTGCATTCAAATGTTTATCTTCTTTCAGTCCAATCAACTATGTTATCTAATCATAATCATCAGTTATATAAAAAATCTCAGATTCGACATCATAGACGACGATTAAAACAAAATTATCGAAAAAAATTTTCATCAAAAGTAGAACAATCATCATCTAGCATTCATTCACATCAATTTTTATTGGATCTTCAACGACCTGGTACACGTTTTTTATCTTATACAATAACTGAACTTGAACCAATCTGTCAACAAATAGCTATACAACAAATGTCTTCAACACAATCATTGATAACAACTTGTCCATTGATTTGTTTATTTTGTGAAAATTTAATTTATGAACCTATAACACTTTATTGTGGTCATACATATTGTGAACAATGTATAAAAGATAAAGAACTTGATTCATTATCAATAAACTGCTTACGTTGTTCAAAAGATATTCAAGGGCAAATACAATCACCAATTTTACATGCAAGAGAAAAAATTTATAGTAAAAATCATTTTCTTAAACAAATTATTGAACGTATAGAAAAATTAAAGTTTAAATGTGAAAATATTTTATTATGTCATGAAGCACAAAATGAATATGAAAAGAAAAATTATCAACAAGCAATTGATATTTATTCAAATATATTAGATCAATGTAAGAAACATTTATTTTTATAAGTCATTTTATTAATTTATTATTTTTGTTTTCTAAGATAATGATGATCATATTGCATTGTACGGTCGAGCTAAACTATATATGACTTTAAAAGAACTTGATAAAGCTCTCATTGATATTGAACGAGTTATACGACTTAAACCACATTGGGCGAAAGTAAGAGATCTTTTTCCTCTTTTTTTCTTTGTCGAGCGAAAATTATCTTGATTTCCTTAGGGTTATTATTGTCGAAGTGAAATATTATTCGAAATGAAACGTTGTACAGCTGCATTATTATCATCATTACAAGGACTTTCAATCGATCCGGAAGATCATATAGGCAAACGAATAATGGCTCGAGTTAGTGAGAAAATTTTAATTGTTATGTTTGAATTTATTATTTTATTTTTTATTGAAGCATCTTCATGCTGTGCTACATGATAATGATAATAATGAAACTGCAATAACAACAGAAAATGAATTAGACACACTTCTATCAACAAATGACACAACCACGGAAATGATAACTTCGGGTGAGAATAAATCTAATTATTATTATGATATATCGTAGATCTGCTTAAGAACTAGATAAAAAAAATGCATTCCGAGAGTATATAATCATTAAAGATTCTAATAAAAGGTAAATTGACATGTAATGTAAACTATTAATTGATAAATACTCAGTAAATATAAAGTTCATAAGAACTACAGCATAAAATTCGTAGTTAACAGATGATGATGTTAATTAAATCTAGACAAATATTAATAGCATTTGTGTTGAACAATTTGTGTATTAATTTCCTTTTAGCTAATATTATGTGTCATTATTAAATACATGACATATTAACAATGAAATTATGCATTTTTCAAAGGATAACTCGGGGAAAAAAAAGGAAAACATAATCTATTTCGGCCTAATTGAATATTTAAAATGAATTTAAATAATGAAATGCAAAACATATGAAACAACTTTTTTTCTTCAGAAATTTTTTAGTTCTTTATATTAACGTTCTTTTAGGTACAACAGATATGAAATTACTCATGTGTAGATCAACATGTAAGTTCTATCATAAGTTTTATTTTGGAATCTAACTATTTATTAATATAAATATAGCATCAGCTTCATGTCTTTGTACATTATTCGATTGTAAATATTTATGTGCAAGAGATTTCGAATGTTCTATATGCGTCAAGTATAAAATATTATAGGTTATTTATTTTGTATAGCTAATTTTCTTTCAGTGTACTATGGTTTCCAGTGACAACGCCATGTGGTCATGTTTTTTGTCGAGAATGTCTTATACGTTCTATAGATAATACACAAGTTCAATGTCCAATGTGTAAAAATTCATTGGAAGAAGTATGTATTAGATATTTGATTAATTATGTTTTTTTTCCTGCTTAATGGTTATTCAAGAAAAAAAAAGTTTTTAAAATATTTTGTTTTCCTACGGTAATGATCTTAGTTCATAGCGTTAACCTTCGGAAATGACTAAATTTTAAAAGAAAGAACATTGAAATTCCCATGATTCGTATTTGTATTCATGCTTCCAAGATTCATTTATTTCTGAAGCATACTCCATAAGAAATGGATCAAATATTATTTTTTCGAAGTTTTTTTAAACTCATTATCTCCTATGGCACAAATCTAGTAGATTTGATACAGCTACTGATTATGACATTGATATGGTTAAATTTGAATGAAGTTATTTCACTGAAAGATGTAAAATGAGCAACTAGTCTTGAATGACATAAAAATTGTATTTATTGTTAATTTGATATTTTTTTGCGTTTTTTATCGTAGTGATGGTGTTATTTTATATATATCATGAGTTATTTTGAGGAATGATATATGGTTAGATACTTGCACAGGCAATCATTTTCAGATTGAAAATAAGTCTTTCATTTTCAGGATCTTGTCGAAATCATTAGTCTTTATTTTATTTTTATAGTATGAAATCATGGTTTTGACTTCAATATAAAATCACTCATTCCTATAGTTAAGAGATTGTTCGGATGAATGTGCATAATAAAATTTGCAAGTTTCTATATCTTATCAATAAGATATTATTTAAAAATCGTTAATAAAGTGCTTTCTGACTAGTTAATAATTATAATCAAGTGCTTAGCATGAAAATCGTGTTATTTACGAGCTTATATTAGAGATATGCGCGATAATGCTTTTTCGTACTCAATAACTCAACTGCGACAAAAAAAAAACTTTCTAACATTTACCCTATTCTACACGACGTAGTTGCGTACATTGTGAACAAAAGCATAGAATAATAAATCCTACGAAAAGAGTTTATTATCTTCATGACTGCACAGAGATTTGTGAGACTAATAAAACATTCTCGTAGGGCTTGTTGTGCTACGACTTTTTTATAGTGTAGGATGACCCTGCACATATCTACTTTATACCGAAAATATATTAATTGTGAAAAAAAAACCATTTTTTCATTGCTATCCTTTACGAATGGATCACAAATGATCCAAGTTGTTTCACATGTTCAGTCAAGAGAGTTTTACAAAACTACTCGGCAAATAGATTAGTATATATGTCAACGTGACAAACATCAGAATAATCAGTTTGTGTATTTAAATAAAAAAGAAGCACCGTTCTACACAATATTCGGAAACTATCTTGATCCGCTGCTTTATTACTTGATATAGATAGTTTCTTTGATTGAGTTAAAAATAACCCAACAGGGGGTAACGAGTTCATTTTTTTTTATAGTTTTTTCCAATGTTAATACAATCACATGTGAATAAAACTGAAATCATATCACAAATTATAGAAAGTTATTTTCCAAATGAATTTAATGAACGACAACAATTATATGAACACGAAAATATTGAAGGGTAAAATTTATATATATATATTATTTTAAATAAATATAGAACCATTTTGAGAAAAAAGTGTTAAACTTTAGAGCAACAATTCCTCGATTACCAATAAATAATATTATATCAACTATATTTGAAATTCCAATATTCGTATGTGTATTAGCTTTACCTTATTGTACATGTCCATTACATGTATTTGAACCACGTTATCGTTTAATGATGCGTCGAACAATCGAAACTCAATCACGTACATTTGGCATGTGTAAATATGATCAAGAAACAGAGTATGAAAATGATAATAAAATTTTAAATAAAGAAAAAAAAAATCTTTTTAGTACATTTGCTGATTATGGTACATTATTATTTATACGTGGTCTTGTTTATACTCGTGATGGTCGTTCAATAGTTGATACAATAGGTCAACGACGTTTTCATATTATTGATCGTGGAGAAAGAGATGGATATAATACAGCACGTATACAACTTATTCAAGATCATCCAATTGAACATGATGAATTTGATGGTTTGTTTATTTTGAAAATTTTCGTTTTTTAATTATTTCATTTTTTCTATTCTATTAGATTTATATCAAATTAATCGAAATACTTATAATCGTGTACGTGTTTGGTTTGATCAACTTGATGCATATCAACGAACATTAATAAGTCGTCAATTAGAAGGTTATCCACCATGTGATAATCTAACTGATGAATCAAGTAAATATTTACATTTATTTACTAAATTTCAAAGAATAAAAATTGAAAGTCAAAAACATGACAGTTACTTATGAGTTTCAAGGTTTTACTAAAGTAAAGGACAAAAGTTTAGGATATTTCTTTTGTTTCTAAATTTTTCTCTCAAGACAAATCTACATATACCGTCTTAGGACGAAGAACAAAGCTGAGATGCAAACAGTATTTTTCATGCTAAGTTAACTTCATTTTATTTGACAAAACTCTTTCCTTCGGTAGTTAGAGCCTTTCGAGTGCAAAACTTTTGAATATAGTTGAAGCGTACTTTGATACTCTTAATGAAATTTTCTGATCCTAATTAAACAGAGTGCTTCGAAGATACGACAAAATTTGAAAATTAGTGCAGTTTGTACAACAGTCTTCGTTCTATAGAATGAGAGGTTGCACCCTCCTATACAACGTGTCTTGCATGAGATATAATGTTTTGAAAATAAATCAGTGGAAAAAAACAAAACAACTGGAAAATCATCTATCAACCTATTGCTCTAATTTAGAATCATTGCATTGCGTGTAAGATACATTGGATAGAAAGACATAACCTCTCATTCAATAGATCAAAGTCTGTTCTATAAAATGCACTAGTTTTCAAAATTTCGAAGTTTCATCTTAAAGCTCAATTAAACTCTAGAACAATATTTTGGAAAAAGCTTTTAACAAGTTATTGCGCAACAAAAACTACATAGTTTTAGTTTGTTCTAAACATTCCTTCTAATAATGCCTTTGAAAATACAAAAGCATGATAACTTTCCCTATAGCTGTTAAACATTTTTTTATTACTGTGTGCTTGATTTTTAATAAATTGTGTATACCCAAAACACAGTACACTCAAGTCTACCTCTAATGATGCATTGTAGCATTGTTTACGTTCTTTTATAATGATATAATTTATGAAGTATTAAACATGTCTTAAAGCTTTGCCCATCGGATAAAAGACTTCTGACACAAAAACTGAAGCTAACTTTTCTGCAAAAACTACTCTTTTCTAGGTCATTCGATATATTCTATAATCTGAACAGATCAAAAAGAATTTTCAACGAATCATTGGTAGTCTAGAAAATTTTAGGAGATTCATTATGATCATATTCAAATTCACCATGATCGATAACCCTAAAATCCACTAGGTTTCGGTGAGAAAGCAACTCCTCGTTAGAATCTTTCCTTTAATCCAAAAAAAAAAGAAGAACTTCTAATTTTATTCTTTATTAGCTGATGGACCTAGTTGGGCTTGGATAATGTTAAATTTATTACCCATTGAAGCAAATCTTCAATATACAGCATTGATTTCACAATCATATCGTACTCGTTTACAAATAATTAATGATACAATAGACTTTTTACTCAATCACCAACAACAACAACAACAAACAATAACTTCTACAACTGATGAATCATAGATTATTTTGTTTTTTAAATTTCATTACGATAAATTTCCGGTGTCTTATTTCTTATTTTAAACAAAATAGAACGAAGAACTTCTTCATTTTATTTTTGTTACATATCATATGTGATTTTTTTATTTCGATAATACACTATTCTATACAACTATAAAAAATATAATATTCAAAAACAGATGTTCTTATTTGTTCAATAAATGCGATCTCTTGTTTGAGTCTAGATCTTGACTGAATAATTGAATGCAATAAAATGGTAGTCAATGTATAAACTTTTTGTTATTCATTATTACTTCATGTGGATAGTACTTCAATCGAACGAGATGTTGTGATTATACAACAAAAGCATTAAACACGATATGATTATTTATGTAGAAATTCAAATAATATGTTTTGTGGTTTCTGTATAAATAAGAAAACTTCATGAGATATATTATAACAATGGAAAACGTATAATTCAAAGTGTAATTCATTATCTTGTGTGAAGTCTACAAAATGATAGGTTTATATTTTCAAAAAATTCATGCTTACGGGCGAAGATCTCAACTTGTTAATAGCTTTTGAATTGAGACTATGTACATCGTGAAGACTCTAATGAACTATGAATAATCTTAGAAGAGTTCGGGCTGTTAGTTTATGCCTATCTCGTTGCTACATTTTTAACAATATTGTTTGAATCAATGCTGTGATCCACTCAAGAACATTGGAAAAACTGATTTTCGGATTTCGATTGGACGCTTTGCATAGAGATAGTTTCTAACAAGAACAGTTTGTGACGAAATTTTCAAGTATTAGAAGCTACGTGACGCACATGGTAGAGCTCATCGGATTAGCTTCGACTGAAAAGCGGTTAATCCATTGTTAGCTTTTCCTCAATAAATCAAGGTTCTTGTTTCATAGCTTTTATATTTTGTTTCCTCGATGATTTCTTTAAAAATATCAAGAATTTATTATTAATTCATTGTTCAGTGCTGTCCTCTATACATTTTTCAATTTAAATCAAATATTTCTTATCGTTTTTCATTCATTCTTTTAATTATTCACTTATATTTATAAATAATATCAATCGTAAAATAAAAAGCGTTCTAAAAATTATCAGCCTCTTTGGCGGTAACTTCAACGATCTATCATCTCGATCTCAAATCAGTTGAATCTATACCTCTTCTTATGAATCTAAATACAATATTAACCTCAACTGCTAGCCGTAATTCAGTAGTAATAATTTTTCCACTTTATTTTTCATCATTTTCTATTTTAATTTAAAAATATAGAATTTGAATTCATCAATGTTAAATAATAGTATTGGTGCACCAACACCAAAATCAGTTTCATCGGAGACAACAAAAACATCTCTATCAGAAACAAATTTAATAATACCTGAATGGGTTCATTGTGAAATATGTAAACGACGTGAACATAATGGTTCAAATAATACTCGATTACCACTTGGCTATTGTCATCCATGTGGTCATATTATCTGTCGAGATTGTGCCATGCATAATATGAATGGCCATAATTGTAAATATATATATGAAAAAAGACAAAATAATTTACAAAAAAAATTTTATTTTTTATTTTCTATGTGCCTTATGTTCAAAATCTACACATATTTATCCGATTAATTCCAATGTAAAAATTTAGATAATATAAAAATTGAATGTTTGTTTTCTTTTTCTTAGTTACCACCGCAAATAAAAGTATTATTTATATCACGTTATGAATTAGTACATGTAACTGAAGCACAAGTACGCGAACAAGTTTATAAACTTTATTCAAATATGTATAAACAATTATTTGATGTAAAACTGTTTTTATTTTTATTGTAATTTTATTAAAAAAAACGAATTCAAATTTTTTTTTCTTCTATAGGTATTTGATTATCAAGATGCAAAATGGAATCAATTAATGACGCATAGAATTGAATATGTAAACAAAGAAATCTATTTTTGTTTTTAAAAAATTTTCTCATATAATTTTAGTTAAGACAAATGAATAAAATAAAAAAAGGAATGATGGAATTAGAAGAAATCAAACGTATAAATAAAGAATTATTAAAAATTTTTCAAGGACAAGAACAATGTATTCATCAAGATCATGACCGACATCAACAAACTATTCGACAATATCAATCAGTAGATTTTAAATTATTTAATTCATCAATTTATTATTTTTTGCTTCTAGACTATTTCACCAGTACGACCATCATCAGTAGCTTCATCAACATCATTAAATTTTGGACCTCAACAACGACAACAGACAAATCATAATCCTTCATCAATTATAAAACCAATGGTTATGGGAACATCACCAAATCCTCAACATCATCATGTACCTCCACCTGAACCTGATAAATTAATGACATATGAACAAGCAATGATATATGCACATCCAGCATTAAAAGATGCTTGTAAGTGGTTATATTAATGAGAAATATATTTTTAAGTTTGCTTTCTTGTTTTTTTTTTTCAGTGCGTTTAGCTCATCGACGTAAGATGTCGTCGAAGAATAGTGGAACTATTACTCCAAAATAGATTCGAATATTTTATTTATTTTATTTTTTTCTTGGTACTTTTATTTATATGTATATATATATAGACAATTCTTGATTTAAAATGTATTAACAAGTGACTTATAATAAAAAGAATCTAAGAGATCAATGAAATATGTTTTTTTTTTAATAAGTGTTGAATATTTCATTTATCATTACAATATCATATTTTCTCAACCTATTGCATTCTCATAAGAGTTTTGAATCGACTGAACTGAGTCATTATTCAGTCTATAAATGAAATCTTACGCATCAATCGATTTTTGACTGACGAATAGCATTTTTTAAACTGATTTCTTACTGAAAGATTTTGTGCAAATTTGACCATTTTAGCAAAGACAACATTTATTCTATTACATGCTTAAATTTCTTGAAAGCAGAGAGGAACTGTATAAGAACTAACTTTTCCGATAATGATGTACTAGAAACCGTATATTTCAAGAACTTTAAGCATATAATAGAATAAATGTTGCATTCTATTGGACTTTAATATGCTAGTTCACTTGTTCCATAAAAAAGGTTTCGCAAATCATTCATTGATGTTGATGCAGTGGGAATCATTTTGGTATATGCATATATTGCAATATGAATAAATGAGAATGGATATTCTGTCTCGTAAGAAAAACAGATATGTACTATGTGCTCTTAATGCAAACGATAATTAATATTGGTTCTTTTTAAAGAGAAGNATTATGCTAACCGAAAAGGAAATTAAAGAATTAATTGATAATCAAAACTGATCATTGAAAATTCTCAAACCAACAGTAACTTATTAATATTCGTCTACTTTTTTTTCATTTTTCTTGTTTTCTTCAACTTCATTTGTTATTTGTATTTAAAATGACTTTTTAATTACAAAATTAAAAATAGCCAAGAAATTTTGAAACAGAATACAGAAAATATTATACTTTGATCTGAACTCTCCAGTACTTAGATTCGCAGTTGAATGCAAACCGGGTCTGAAAATAAATCACATATGGACCCGGACCCGGGTGATATCAAATTTCTAGACCCAGTCTCGGACCCGGGTGGTATTATCTTTCTGGACCCGGACCCGCTACTCTCTATTGAATAGTCTACCAACGATGTTCCTCCAGTTCAGATCATATGTGTACATATCTGCTGAAGTCTTTCCGATTTTTCTTTTTGTGACATTAGAAATAGTTAAAAGGTTTCGTTTTTTGTGAATTATTCATTGCTTTGGATGTAAATAGATTTAAGCAATAATTATTGTTGTTGTTTTAAGAAAGTATTTTTTCCTATGACTTTTTGAGGGATGGACCATTTCTGCTAGACAGAATGCAATTTCCCTATTTTGGCGAAACATTGCACAGTTCTCCTTTTATCTAATTGCAAAAATAAACGAATTTGTCTTCTAAAGACTATTATAATAGGGATCGATGAGAATCTATATAAATGAGTTTTGATGCGATTTTTGATTTATAATTTATATGCGTCACAAAAATTCATTTTAAATTGTATATCTTTGAAAAATCTATTCAAATTGTTCTTATATATACAAATCTATCATTTAGACAGTAATGATCCTGTCAAAGATCTAAGTCATGTTCTCGATTTTCTATGTCATGTCAAGTATGTACAAGTATGTTGCCAGTACCTAGGCAATGAATTAATAAATATAAAACAAAAAAAAATATAAAAAATCTTTTATTATGTTTAAGATTATTGGTTGTCCTGATAATTTTGGTAGCAGTACAATTAAAACTCAATTTCTTTCATTTGATGTTTCGTTTTTTAAATCAGTTGAAGAACTTGAAGTATGTAATGATTATATTAAAATAAACTTGATAATAATTTCTTTCATATAGCTTGATTGTGTTCAAACAAATCAAATAACTGGTATTGACAATCTTAAAAAAACTGTTCGTCATTTATCAATTCATCGTAGTTTAACATCAATACGTGTACGAAAATAATAGTAATAATAATAATGTTTTAAAGTGTAAAAAAAATTATTTTCTAGGAAATTGCTTTAAGTTCTCTAACTGAAATTCCACCATCATCCAATGAATGGTTAATTAGTACATGGAAACTTGTTACTCATCTTGATTTAAGTAAAAATTCTCTACATCTTCTTGATGAATCACTTGTATGTATTTCATTTGAAAAAGAAATATTTGTCAAAACAAATTTTTTTTTCTTTTGCAAGAAATTATTTTGTAAAACTGAAACATTAGATTTAAGTTATAATTTATTAGAAACTACAATAGATCATTTACAACATTTACATTTTCTGCAAAGTTTAAATTTATCAAATAATCGTTTACATGATGTATCAGATTTCAATGCACGTGTTGGTAATATACGGTCATTAGATTTATCATTTAATGAATTAATAACAACAGATGGTTTATCACGTCTTTATTCATTAATAACGTTAAATTTATCATCAAATAAACTAGATTCAATTAAAAGTATTGAATTACTTGGAAGTTTACCATGTTTAGAAAATCTTTGTTTAAAAAATAATCCATTAACACGTATTGTTGATTATCGTATACGTGTTTTTGCTGTATTTCATAATCGAGCAAAAGATGTAAAAGATTTTTTTTCTTCTTAATTAAAGATTTCTTATTTGAAATTATTTGTGTTTTTTTTTGTTTATTATTTTTTGACATTAGGTTTGGTTAGATGGACAAATGCCTGATCAACGTGAACTTGATCGTGCTGCTGTCATAAGTGCAATGAGTCGAGCAAAACAAAATGAAGCTGCACAAGCAACAATGCTTGTTCAAAAAGTTTTATCACCAACAAAACCAGTTCTTCTTTCATCATCATTACTTAGACAAAAATCAAATAATAATTTTAAAAATATTAATGTAGCTTCATCATGTCCAAGTAATTTATCAATTATTGAAAAACAACCCGATGTGGTACTTGATACGAAAGCTAGTAATAATACAATATCAACCGAAGAAACTAATATAAGTTAATAGAGTTCTTTTCTTTTTTATTTTTATTTTGTTTCTTTAATATATATATCTTGTATCCAATAAATTCCAATTTGCACTATGAATTTAAATGTATTATAGAGCGTAATATGATACGGCAATATATAAAAGTGAATTAAAGTGTTATATGTTTTCATAGTAATGCCATAGAGCCCACCGAGCTGATTATGGATCCGAAAATTTTGGATCCGACGTTCTCTCTATGTCACAGACAAAACGCACAACTCTCGAAATTATCAGCATTGTGCACGGTGCAAAGAAAAATATACGCAGGATCTTTAGACATACAATATGAAACTGGCATATGTTCGATAATCTCATTACACTAATACATAATACGTTAAGTGGAAAATCTATAGTAGACTATTGCTGTTTTGCAAGAATAATTGATCAACAGTGGAAACGATCTGTTTTATTTTATGTTTCGAACAAGAATTTTTTTCTCATACTCTATTTTGTTTGTGTTATTGATATACACTTATTAATTTTCATTTTTGTATTCCGGTTTTCTTAATTTGATATTACTATTATTATTTTAACCACTGATTTAACTGACAAATAAGTTTGTTGTATATATCCATTATATCTATAGAAAGTGTCAACAACCTATAATATACCTCGATAAGCTCAGAAATAGATATGGGAAAGGGGGTTCCAATTCTGCCCAAATCAGAATCAATACTTTTTTTTTCATTAGGAACGATACTTTTTATGATCGTGTAAAACTTACGTTGCACGTCATATTGTCACGACTCATGTGTTCGAAATTGATGTGAATGAGATAATTCTGCTCATGTCTACTCAGAAACATTGATACTGAATTTTTTCTTATATTTATAACTTGATCAGTTCATGCTTTCTATGTTTTTCATATGACAGCTATAACAAATCAATGTATCACTTCTCATTATCCTTGACATCTTGAAAATAAATTTTTATCCGAGCAAAAAACAAAGACTGCACCATTTAGAACATTCACAAATGCATTGCAGCCATTGAAATTTCGGAGAAGACTTTGCAATGTTCTAGAACAGTCTAAGCGTTGTTGTTAATAAGCCTTTTTCCGTTACTAAGGAGTTCCGAAAAAGGAGTCTGTTGTCTGTTACCCTCGATTGCTATAGAAGCTTAATCAAAAATTGTTTGTCATTCTCTCTCATTTCGTTTCTAGAGAAACCATGTTCATTGGCCTCTGATCTTTGGTCATTGCTGCTATGAGCAAGCGAAGCCGTAAACTGGCATTAAAGTTACGCTCACGAGGGAACATTCCCAGGTGTTCGAGCGATTTTTAGTCGAGACTTTGCGCATCTTGTAGGCCTTGATGAATTATATCTACCGTAAAAAAAGTTCGTGCCCCTAGCTTGTTCCTAGTGAGATATTGAGGTTTTAGTGAATTTTTCCTATAAGACCCCACATTTGCAGCCAGGCCATATTTTTGAATTTTGATCTAAAACTTTGCCCACATAAACATCTCAGATAGACTAGTTTGCATAACAAATTTCAGAACTTTTGGGCANTAAAATCTTAATTATTAAGCATCACGTTGCATGATGAACAAGTGAACAACAGGAAATACCTGTACATAAACTTTTCCTCTGAGAATAGCCAATAATTAGCTAAAACCATGAGTCTTCACTTGTTCATATATACAGACGGTGCTAGATATTGGCGAAACACTTAACGGGTCTGGGCCCGGTCGGGTCCGGGTCCGTATATGTCAAGCCCGGGTCTGGGTCCGGGTCCATAAAAACATGGACCCGCTACTCTTTAAATGACATCAATACATGTAAAAAGAAAACGTTCGTTCATCTCAGCATTCAATATGTATGAAAATTTGTTGGAGTGTCTTCATAAAAGTAAGGCTTATTGGAACTAACCAGAGAACATCGCCCATCGCTCAATCGATTTTTGTGTATTCCTGTCAATATTCTATTCACCATGATAACTAGTGAAGATGTCTGACTTTTCTGGTCTTCTATTGTTGAGTCACGGGCGTTTTACTTTATTTTTGTCCTCTCAGTATAGGATATCTGAGAACCTGTATGATTGAATTTCAACTACAGATATGCCTTGTAGTTACTAGAAACACTCGAAAATTTGAGCCAGAACAAACGAATCCTTGCTAAGATATGTGCATTTTAAAGAAAAGCCTGTTTTGAGCTATATTTAAGAAAAAAAGAACCATGATTCTATGACAAACTGACATCTAGATACGGATACGTTTGTCCTTGCTCAGACTTTGAAATATTTCTACTGTCCATAAGGCGTATCTGTAGAAAAAAACTTAAACTCGAAATTCGATCATCGAGGTTCTCATCAATCCTATTCTTATAGGGCGAAAACCAAGTAAAATTCTTGTAACTTGACAAGCAAAGACCGGAAAACCAGACTTTTTCACTACTTATCCCGATCGATCGAATGTGAAAAGCGCTTTAACAGTTGAGAACGTTTTCTTGTTTAATGGAGATAATAACTAAAAGTTTTCTTTTCTTTTCTTTCCAAAAGAAATATTTTGTCCTATCAAAGAGTGTATTTTACACAATATTTACATGACACTCGTTGACTTTATTGCGAAATTCATCCAACCCACTCGAACCTATCATAGATATTTTGTTCAATTTCTTAAACATATGTTTCTAGCCTTCACGTTCAAATATCCAACACACTCCACCGACAGATTCTGTAACATCAGTAAATCATATTCATTTAATTGATGATGATAATACTGAAAACATTTATACTACTGATAAGCCATCAAGTGGTCTTCTTCCACCACCAACTATTGGTGCACGTGTATGGGCAATGTATCAAGGTTCTCGACGTTCTGGCACAGTTTTAAGTGTAAATGATAAACGTGGTATTTTTAAAATGCGTTTTGATGAATTTCCAACAGCTCAATTCGATTATTCATTCAGTTATAACTCATCAGCATGGTCTTACATTGGTGCTCCACCACCATCAACAGATTCTACAATAACATTATTTGAAAGAATTGTAAACGAACCAGAACCATTATTTACTATTGCAAAAAAGTTTAAATCATTAATTAAAGTAAAATTTTCTGTTATGACAAACAAATTTTCTTATTAAAAAATTTCCTTTTCTTTTTATTTAGTTTATGTTACCACCTGATTGGGAATTGACACCTGAACAAATTTTATTGATGAGTTATGATGATCTTAGTCAATTTGATATTGTAGCTTTTATGCAATCGTATCGAGAAAAAATGACAAAAGTAAATCTGAAATAACCTCTATATTTTATGAAACACGATCTAAAAGGAGTGTTGAAATATACAGGATAAAAATTTGCGCCTGCTTCCTGTCTAGAATTAGTCAAGTACAAAATATTCAAATCCAAACTCGCCTACATCTCGGTCTGAAATTAACCTGACAAGCTCTACTCTTGTGCCACCAGCTCACGAACCATGATAGACGTTATTGATATAAAATCAATCAAATCTCGTTATAATATAAGAACTACTTTCTTATTGCATTTCTGGAGGATTAAGGAAAAGCATAGTTGAGAACTGTGTCCCAAAATAGATAGAATAAAACAATCTCATAATAATTATCAAGAGCAGCTACATCGTGTTTCACATTTTAACCCGACAAGGATTGCGTTTACAGATTTTTTCTTTCAATCAATTTGTTGATTTAGATTGTTGAACAACATAAAGCTGATGAAACACATTGGCGAACATCAACTCAACGTTTACAAGTAGAAGCAACTAAATTACTTAATCTTTGTGGAATTGTTCGTTAATTAAATTTTAATGTTTTCTAATGTTTAATCTTTCTTTTTTAGCCAATTCCGATGGATTGTTCAATAGAAGATTTTGAAGAACATATTGAACGTTACGTAACACAAGTTCAAAAATCATGTTGATCTCAGATATATATATTTATATGCATTCTATTTTTTTTGATACTATTCTATATATTTTGTATATAACTTTTGTTTTGGTCTTGAAGACAAAATGAAAAAAACGTAAAGACTTTTTTTCTCTCTCATTTTTGTTACTCATGATTGTATGTTTTTCGATATTCAAGTTATTATAATAGTAAATATGATTAAACATGAAAAAAAAGTTATTAGTCATAACTTTAGCTGATATTATCTTTAAATAGGTTTGTGTGTATTTCATTGTTACTGTTGTTTTTCCTTTTGTTTATGTTATTTTTTGTACTTGTTGAATAGGTTGTATAGTAAAAATTGTATGAACTTTAAAAAAAGATTAATTGTGAATTGGTGGTAGAGAAAAAAATTTACAATATCTTCTTAGGAGTCGCTGCACAAGAACTGTAATCAATCTTAGTCACGAGAGAAGTCCTTCAACTGATAAATCGCTTTTGAGTCGAGACTATGTGCATTATATTGACTCAAACGAACTATGAATAACTTGAAAAGAGTTGGCGTCAAAATTTTTGCATAGAGTCAGAGACAGGTTTTAGTGTATATAATTTATTGTGAAATATCAGATCTTTTCAGTGTTCCTATCCTAAGATATAACTATGGTAAAAGTATGTCTTTCACATTGCGCAGATCAACCGGTGGGTTTAATGTTCTTATTTCAAGATAGAAGAAAAATAAACAGATCTGAAACTTTCAAAATAAACTACTCTCGTTAAGGTCTGTCTCTATGAAAAATTTCAAATCGAAATTCAAAAATCAATTCTCCTAGTATTTCTGAAAGGATCATAGCGTTCAATAAAAAATTATTGTAAAAATTTAGTATCTCCATTGCAATAAGCTAAAGGCACAATTGTTTTCAGGATATACATAACTCATTACGGTCTACTACATAATGTAAATAGTCTTGACTCAACAGCACTTTATCAGTTGGAAGACTTCTTTCGTAAAGTCTATCTGTTACAAAAATTATTCAACAAAAAAAAAATAATATTGCACAAGGAATAATTCTTTTTGAACCATCATGCATGTGTTACAGGTCTGTTTTGTCTTGAAAACTTTACTTCGTCCTCTAGATACTCTATCGACCTTAAATGTTGCATTGACGAATGTAAACGAAGCGTTTTTCTTTTTAATTTTATTTGTAATAAAATGTTTGACGAATATTTTTAGCGAATAATTTAATCGAACGAACGACAAAAAATTACTTTCAACCAAAAAAACACTCGGATACATATACAATTTTGAAAACTATACTCGATCTATTTGTCTGTTTGTTTCTTTCACATCTCTCATCTGATAGCTATGACCTTCTATTTGAATCAATTTTAATGTTGTAAACAACAGAATATGAATAGTTAATATACCTCTCTAATGATGTGAATAATAACAGACAGTTTAAATATCAAATTTCAAAAGCGTCTATAAAAAGAAAAAAAGGAATCAATTATTATCATTTTCTCTCATTTTCTATTTACATATGATCATGGTTTCAAATCAAAAACTTGCTAATGATTTAGTTATCTCCATCTTAGCTATATTTATTTTAAGTACAACTATTTTATCTATTTCAACAAATAATTGGAATATAGAATATGAAAATTCGATTACCAATCGAACAGGTTTATTTCAACAATGTTCAAATGCATTTTGTTGTGATACAAAAGAATTAGATCGATCAATAACATTATTAGTTTTATTTAGTATTATTTTTCTAACAATAAGCACATTGTCATCATGCTTTTTAATGGCAACAACAATTGATTATAAAAATCAATGTTATATACTTGTACCATTGACATTATTTGGTGCAGGTATTTCAATGACATTAACATTAATACAAATACTTGATCGAATTTATCTTAATGGTTATTCAGCATTTATATTTTTTATTGATACTATTTTTGCTTATATATTAGGAGCAATTTCACTTTTACATGCTAATTTGTTCTATTTTTAATGATTTGTACTCAAGAGAAACACATGCGATTTTTAAATAAAATCAAAATTTATATCTAAGCTTCGAATATTTATGATAGAACGTATGTTATAATAGAGTTTCGATTCTCTATGAATTCTTCTTCGAAATACAATTATATTTTATGAGATAATTCTTTATATTTAAAGATTATTAAGGCTAATTATCAGTAGACAAAAAAAGCGCTGGACATCTCATACTTTCTGACAGCTATCACTTTCAGATATATATCACACAATATTTGAAAATCATATATATGTTGTGTTCAAAATGAAAATTTCTTTTTCGATGAACACGAAACGATAAAGAAAGATAGAAAATTAAAGTAGCAATAAGTTCTTTTATTTCACAAAAATATTAACAAATATCATATGGGGATGTTAGTGCAATAAGCACCTCGCGCTCATGCACATCCATGCTCAAAAACCAAACAACCATACATCAGACACAGCCCATACTCATATTTACATCCACATCGAGATCCTCCCGACTAGAACTGCTGAAAAACCAACGTCTTGAATTTTGATATTATTAAGGATTTGGTAAAATGAAGTGACATTAGCAATGATCTGCTTTTCTAGAGAAACAACACAACAAGAAAAAGATTTTATGATTTGGAACCAGATTCGTAGCATTTGAGCTCGCCCTTGGTCTTAGACAAAAATAATATAAATAGTTTGTATTTTGATGATGATCGCCAAATTACAAATCGTTTATGTGAATTCGGTCTAAAAGCAAATCCATCATCCAAATCCAAACATAAGCTCCAAATAAGAATACAATACGAATTGCAAGGCTTTTGGTCTCAAACTTCAAATCTATCCTAGATTTTTTGCACCTGACTTCAGACCCACATCCCCATGCTTACCTTTTGTTATCGAGATTTTACCCTTTTCTAGTCATCAAAAAAGAAATTTCAATTTCGTCTAGTCAAAATTGAAATTTTAATTTTAACCACAACATATATTTAGATGCATGAAGCAATAGCAAACGATAATGTTTTTATTACATTCATATAACACATTATACGTCAACTTACGTCAGTGAGAATAGGAAAAGTTCAAAAAAGGTTTGTCTCAATTGGCGTTTGGTCCCGAATTATAATCGGTTTACTGGGTTTTTCATCCAGTCACAGTTATTCTTCGAAAGATCGAGTAAAGAAAATTTGATCCAAAATTTTGTCAATAGATAGGTTTAATGACTCTTAGAGTATTGTGAAGATTTCAGTCAAAAAGAATGTACCTTTATTGATATATTGAATTTTGAAGTGAACTTAGTTTCTGTGACATATTTTTGACAAAAAGCTATTTTTAGGAAATTCAATATCTTGACGAAGGAATATTCTTTTCGACTGAAGCTTTCAAGACATTCTAAAACTCATTATACCTATCTATAGGCAAAATTTTACATTTGAAATTCTACCATTTAATTTTGTGGGGAATTATCTACAAATGAGTCGAAAATCCAGTACAACGATCATAATTGGGCGCAAAAGACCACTGAAGATGAATCATTTTAGGTTTTTGCTAGTCTCACTAAGATCTGCCGGCAGATAAAATATGAGCTCAAACGGTTGGCATCACTTGAAATAGTTTCCTCGTGAGATATATACATAATTATATTCATAGTACTAAACAAAAAAATGATGTTTTAAATTCATTTTTAGGGTTCGAACTGTTCAAAACTATCTCTGATAGAAACTAAACTGTTCTAACAGTTTTTCCACTCATTTTATTTGAACTTGAAGCTGGTCGATCTCTATTTAAAGTTGTGCAAAACATTTAGTTCCATTTTTCGAAATGAGACCACCTGTAAAAAAAACTCCTTGTTCTTTTTATGGAAATGATATTTATAGAACAGTATAAAATTTTATGGGCAGCTCAGTTTCTAGAACTGAACTTGTGCTGAGAACTAGTTAAACTTTGCTCGTTTCATGTGATCAATGTTTTTGTTATTGAAGTTATAAAGCATGGTAATATTTTTGTTTTTCTCAATCTAAAAAAAAAACATTAATCCATTAATCCGATTCTAAATAATGATAACAATAGTACAAAGAAAGTATTATTTCACTTTTAAAAATACCGGATTATTGTTAAATGTAATATTTTTTAAAACAAATTTCAAAAAATGCATATGATATATTTTTTTCAATTGTATACTCTTAAAAAGATACAATTTAACAGAAATTATATATCTGAAGGCATGTTTCATGTATTTTGTTTATTTATTTTTTTTTAATTGTATTTCATATTCATCCAGGACCAAATGAAACCGGTAAACGTTCAACAGCACGTAAACATTCATATTGAAGACGATATAGTTTGTATTCACGTTGAAATTGTTTATCTTCATAAATAGGTAATTTAAGTGCCATAGCCAATTCGAACCATATCATAAATTCATATTGCTGTTGTAACCATGTCGGATAATCATCAATATAACAATACTTAGCAATTTGTTTGTATTGAGCTGGTTTCCATTTCAATGATGAAGAATTTCGTATTTGAAATCGGCTTGAATTGATCGATGGTACAACAATCATAAGAAGATAGGAGAAAAGTAAAATAGGACGATGGATATTTAAAAGAATCATTTTTCTTGTTCGTGTATGTTTTTTTTGTTCTTAAAATCGACTTGAATATTTTATATGATCTTGATTGAAAAATAAAAACAAAGAGCAGAAAAACAAATAGGAAAAAAAGTTTAAATCAAATTAGCATCACAGATAACACATACGAAATGTGTTTGACATTGTAGGTTATAAAGAAACGATTTGCGCACGTAGAAAATAACTGTACATTGAAATAACATACGACATTTTACACATTACAAGAACTTTCATGTTGAACGAAAGATTTTATTTTGTGAATTTATTCAAATCATTATTATGATATCTGTAACTTATTCATTAAGGTTGCATCTATTCTCAAAAAAATCGATTTTGGTCAAATACATTCAAATCGCCTGAAATTTTCAGCTCTATATCATGATATTTGAAAGAAATATTGATTAAACAAGTGTCAAAGATAACCAATTTGGTAAATTCAATTTTTCTATACTCTCTCATTGCATATATTTTACCTTTTTTTGTTGTGTTCGAACGAGCGTGTCAAGATGCAAGGCCCGGCAGAGCTATTTTTTTGTTTAATGCTTACTCTTTATGTGAAGAATATGGGTAGTGAGTTCGATAATTCTAAAAACTCTGTAAAAATGATGATTCATTTATAACAGTATGTGTATATTTGAATGAATTATACTGAAAATAAAATTTTCGATTTGAAAGATGATAAGTAATACGTTTTACTGTGCTATATGAGATGCAAAAACTAATAAATTTTTTCCGACTTTCACTATTAATATGACAAATATATATAAGAATTGTTCAAAATCCATCAAAATATCTAAATTCGACTATTCCACATATACATCGAACATCTGCAAATCTATAAGAGATTTGCAAAATTGATGACGAGTACATGAAATTATACGTAAAAAGAACTTTGTTTCTATATCAAAATATATGAATGAGACCTGAAATCAAATAAATCTCAACTATGTAAAACTAATTATGTGTTTTATGTTATATATTAATGATGTGACGTTATCTGCACAACATAACTTCTATGATACATAATTTAGAATCAGTTTGCAGTAATATTGATAGCAAATAATATCAGAAAAGAAATAATAAGTAAAAACTTCACGTTGCCCTTACCTGCGAACTAGTATGCACATCATAAACTCGTACGACATTTTTCTTATAGAGAATCTTACTTTACACCTTGACATTATTCTTTCTTTTTCTTATGAACCATAACTTTTCTAACGTTGATATTTTCAATGGTAGGTAACTACATTAAATGGATAAAAATGATTAACGTTTCACCTCAAACTGCCGTACTATAAGAGAATTATAGATCAAACAAAATGCAAAAATCTCGTGTCACATATAAGTTTTAAATTTTTTTTGCCATAGCTTTTACAAATAAGGAATAATATAATATTCTTGACGTTTGTAACAGACTTATTTCCTATTCACTGATTTTCATTTAACACTATCCACATCAAATTTAGTTGAATGATTCAATTTTAGAATTAACTCTTTAATCTTGCGTGACAGATAATTGAACCATGACTGTATATCAAATATTTAGAAGAAAAAAAGTGTAAGAAAAGTCATCATAAAAGAGCCAATCAGTTTTAAATTCAAAAACTGTAGGTTTTCTGCTCTAATTCTGCCAACTTCCGACATGTAAACAGGAAGAAAAGAAATCCGCTTTACGATAAATTTTAACAATAGGTAAAAATAAATATATATTTGTTACATCTTATTCGCTGCGAGCTTAGAATTTATCTGTGATAAATCTATGATTCTTTTAGGTGATAGTGAGGAGTTATTAGTGGAATCTGATCTAAAAAAAAGAAATTATAAAGATTGATTGAAAACAACGAATGATACTGAAGTTTTACATATTAGAATATAATGATACAATTAGATTACAATTAGCACAGATATCATAAAAGTAAAGCTTTATTAAGAGAAGAGACTTTAACAGACCCAGGATCTTGACATGCTTTTTCAAACAAAAATATGCAGAAGAGAGTTCTTCGGAGTATCCTTGATTGCAAAACCAGAAAAACATATTTTTCAAACAGAAGGTGAAGAAAATCCTAGACAATTTTTGGAAAAAAAAACATTATTTTTTTGTAAAAGATCCAACCTTAATCTATCCTCCGATACATTTATCTTAATCTCGATTAATCTGACGAAAGTCAACTTTTATCAGAGGACGAGCTTAATATACATAAACTTTTACTCTGACTTCATGGCGATCACATAGATAATCCGAAGTTTTCAAGTCATCTATTATTGTAGAAAAAAAACATCCTTATATTATTTTTATAAATAAAATTTAATAATGAACCTTCGAACTAACCTTGTATGACATATCTTTAAACTAAATCACGTCAAGTTCATTGTTCGAACGTTTTTCATGAATAGATTATGATATGTCTATACGATGAAAGAATTTTAATTAGACTGATGATTAAGCTTATTTCATTATCAATGAATAGCATTTCTATATTATTCATAATACATATTATTTTTAGCCCTGTTGACTAATTGCTGAGAATATTGTCCCTAGAAGAATTGTCTCTTAATTGGGTGTGCTTTTTTAGTGTTCGGCTGTTGCAATTTGTTTCTATTTTAATTAGTAATCTGTCACGAGAAATATCCATTTATACAATATTATTGAGCGATATACCAGTCAAATGTCAACTTGACATTTTGTGAAACATGATCTAAGATTAATATTGAAGTAGATGCGGTAGAAATGTGTCTTCATCTCTTACATACCATGGCAAACGTTTTCATGAAAACATCACAGGCAATGATAGACACATTATAAACGACGTATCACAATCATTTTCAACAATTTCTCTTCTTCATCATAGATATATTGTATTTCTGAAGGATTAAGTAAATGGATGCTGAAGAAATGTGTCTCAAAATAGATAGAACAAAACAATTTTCCAATGATTAGCAACAGTAGCTGCATTGTGTTTCATATTTTAATTCGAAAACGATTGCACTAACACCTTTTTCAATCGAAATTTAGTTCTTCAGTCAATTGATTGGATTGGATTGAAAATGACCATATAAAAATCTTATGGCAGAAAGAAAAGAAAAAAAAACATATTAGTGAACCTACTGAGTTCAAGATATTCTCTCTATCTTTGTAAATATTCTGCTATGAATATGTCTCATGAGAGTTTCAGTAATCAGATATTTTTTTGGTATCTAAATGTTTGGCTTTAAAGTATTTCTGAATAAAGATCGGCGGTTCCAAGAAATACCTACTATCAGAATCGGTAGTTCGGTTCCGGTTAGTAAAAACGAAAAACTAACAGTTCCTAAAAAGTATCTGTGGAACCCGGTGTTTTTATAATAGTATACTAGACAACTGACATAATACTCATTTTTTTAATGTTTATCACATTTTTCATGGCATTCAGTCAACTTGATCAAAAAGTTATGTTCTTTGTTCTTTACTTCAGAGGAAACATTGGAGTCTAGTAACTCTTTCTTCGATTATTTTCTTTCGCTAGTCTTGAAATATACATTAAGTAGAAAATCCCTGAATAAAGCTGAAAATTTTATGAAAAAAGTCAAACTTTGATGAAATTTTGTTCAAAGGAATACACTTTTTCTTTGGATAACGGTTAGTTTTTGAAAAACCAATGAGCTTTCAAATAAAAAAAATATTTGAGTTTATCTCTTACTGTAATAGAATATTATTGGAGATACATTATCAAATGACTGCTGTAAGAAAGATCGACCTTTTTCAACAAAATGATTTTATCAGACGAAAAATTATCTACTATGGCAGAAATCTCGCTGTCAACAAGGACTTGGCTGAAAGCCATAATGATTATGAAAGTACACATTGCAATATCTTACCTTGTCTTTTCCGAAAAAATGATTTTTAACGACTTTAAATTTTTTCAGAGACCTTAATCATAATTTCAATTATTTTAAACTTTTCATTCCATTCAATTATGAGAAATCCGTATGGTTAATCATTGGTGCAATCGTAGTTTAGTTTTTCAAACTTTAGATAATACAATGCTTGAACAGCTCTATAGTTATCATTAAAAAGCTTTCGGTTTCAATAGTCTCAGTTTCATTTTTTTCGGAACTGTGGGACTCTACGTCTGAATATTCAAGGGATTTATCTGTGCCAACCCCTCCTAGCTTAATACACATAGTAATATACAAGTATCCAGTTCGAATACTCGATTAATGAGACGGTTTTTAGCAAAGTATCTCATTAAGTTCCTTGATATACTTGATAGCAAGATATGTAAATTGTCGGGTACCCGGTAGAAAATCGTCATCTCGCAGTTCACGGGTATCTCGAACTCAGAACTTTCGCTAGGATATACATAAAATGGCAAGTAGAACAACCTATGAGTATTATCACCCTTCATACTCCTAAGTAGTTTCAATGAAATTTTTCAATTCAAGTCTAACAATCACTTCGAAGGTACGAGACACTTTTTATCTATCATTTGTATTCTGTTACTAAAAGATCCTACGCGTTTCCCAGACAATTTTGATTGTAGCATTATAATAATAAAGTCATAATTGACTCGTATTTTAAGAGTATGACTCGTTGGATCAATCCCGAATCTGATCCACAGTGGGTATTTTTCTCCAGATCAAGCAGACGTGCGAGTTCTCAACTTAGAAAGACATTATGTTCTGCTCAATATTACTTTATCATCTCTCAAATGTTAATATAATCCGAAAAACAACCTTTATTTCTACTAGACAATTACTCGAAAAAGATCTCTTACTACATATATACATGTAAAATCTTTTTTATAAGAAGACTAATACATTCTACGTCATTGGTGCAGTATTTAATGCTGATTCCAAATATGAAGTTACTCTTGACTAAAAAAGTTTCTATATTGCAAAAAATGACTTTTATCTAGGAAAATTTTAACTCAGTTTTGGAACGATCACGCTAACGCTTTATACGTGTTGTGAAAGGAGCAGCATTCTAGGAAGGTTTTATTCATTTTAAAATTTACGAAAAATTGTGCAAGCTCACTGTACTGAACACATGTTTACATAAAAGCATTTGATGTTAAAGAAGAATAACTTTTTTCAAATTTCAAACAGGTAACAGCGAAAGTTTCTTTTTCCTTTTACAAGTCGAAAGAGTCAAAAGTATAGTTTCAGATTATATCTATCATTTACTCCGAAGTGTGTTCTCTTTATTGTTCAAAACAAAAAAACAGGCTTCTAATTCCTACGAACCGAATTTTTCGACTATTGCTAATAAGAAGACAAATGACTTTCATGTCATTGCTTTATTTAAGCCATTAAAAAGTACAGTTTTCATTTTTCACTTAATATCTATATGGAATGCTTAGAGTGCGAGCCGAGTTCGACCCGACGAAAACATTGTCTCCTCTATTGAAAAGCAAGTAGTACAATGTATGTACCATCGACTTCAAAAAAATTTAACATACCACGTTCTATGATGTTTTCATTTTCAGAATTGATAATACGATTGTTATTATGTATGAAAATGCAATTTTTGCATTTTAATTATTGAAAAGTTGTTTCTTATTTTGTTTGATAAGAAAAGAAGAAAGACAAAAAGAAAAAATATATGAATCAATCGTTCATTCATATTTATCAAAGAGCAGTCCTTGACTTTCACTGTAAAGAGAGATAAAGAGAACGTGTACAAAAAAAATAGGATGAAATATCCAGAGACAATGACATAAATTTACAGAAAAGATTTAATAAATAGACACATGTACATAAACAAGATATAAAGTGTATTTTAGTATCTTAAATAACATATCTTACATGTAAAACCATGTAAAATGCGTAAATGACATAATGAAAAACAAAAAGACATAAATGTTAGATAATCTAATCTTCTAAGATAATTTATCAAGTGCTTTGAATAGAAGTGCTGATCTTTTAAGGTGTTTATCTTTTTCCATGATGAGCATTAAATCCCGAAGATTTGCTTGACATTTATATTTTTTTAATTTCTGAAAAGCATAAAAAAATTGTTTTTTTTTTTTTTTTTCATAAATGTTTATTCATATTAGTAAACCTACTAATTTTTTATTGGGACTGACTATATTTGATGATTGATTGGAAGAAATTCGTTTTGTTATTTGTTGATCTTGATTTGCACTTTCTTCAAATTTACGTTTTCGTGCTGTTCCATCCGTTAATATTGTTTTCATTTGAGTTTGTTGCATCTGTATCAAACAAATGAAAAATATCAAAATAAAGAGAAAAAAATCGAAAGATTCAAATATTCTACCTCTTCAGAATTATCAGTTCCTTGTTGACTCTAGTAAAGAAAAATAATGAATAAATAATTAGTTAGATATAAATCAATTAACTAGTCTCTTATTCGTTGATTCATATGAGAAATGATTCTATTTTACCTGGATAGCAAGAATCGTTCGTTGTTGTGAGACTGATTTAATTTGTTCAATTAAATATTTAAGTCTTTCTTCAGTTGCATGAGAAATAAGTGCAAGAACAGAATCATCATGTATTGTTAGATTACTACCTTCCCATCGCTTATCTTTTTTAGCTAAAAAAAATTCATTGAAACAAGATAACAAAACTGATATTTTTTCCGTTACCTAAATGATCAAAACGTCGACGTAGAATAAGCGCAGACAATAATTTATCTTCATGAGTGATATGCCGCGTATGACGATCATCAACAGTTGTGAGTAAACTATTATTTCCAATTATATCATCCGCTGGCTCGTCTTCGTTTCTATAAAAAAGTGATATATCTAGTAGATTTAGAGATTTTTTTTATGACTTAAACAATAGATTTTGTTTCTGTCGGAATAACAGAAAAAGAAGTTCAATTTCTAATTTATAAGATTCCAGGCATTGATTGTATATTGCTATTATCGGAAAACGGAACATCAAGGCAATTTTCACTCATTGAGATTTAGAAGGTGAAATAAATCAATCTAAGTTCAGATTTAGTTTGACATAAATTTCTAATTAGAAAATACAAATGCTCTTTGTCAATCATTTGTCTCAGCTTTGGCATTTGATGACTTATTACTAGATTGAAATATGTATTAAACTTTAATATCTTGATGATGCACTTTTTGACTTTTCTTTAGTAATAATGAAGCTACCGTTTCTATCCTTATATTTTTCAAAATGCGACAATATTATTTCTTTGAAGCTTCATTCTTGTTTTTGTAATAAAATATCAATTAAAGAAATCTAATTTAGATTTAATAATTCAATTTTCTCTTATTTGGGTCATTTTAGATAAAATGAAAGATATCCATCTTTCATGATATTTAACAGTTATTTTTCTAAATAAGTTTTTTTAGGAGACATGAATCAATGTTGACTCTTTTAGCTGACTATTAATTCAAAAGTAATTACCGAATATCTCTCTAACCATGCGAAAAAAAACCTGAAAGGACACCGACGTTCAAGGAAAAGTTCTCCAAATTCAATGGAATTTGGTATGATTGTAGAAGTAGTGAGATACATTCACCATAAACTTTTCAGCTTCATATGCTTTAATCAAGAGAAGTTATAGTGAAAATACATCTGTATGAAAATCATGCAGAATTAGGAAAAATATTGTTTAGTATGAAAAAATTGCTTTATATACAGTTAAATAGAGTATCGAATGCTCTACATTTTTATTCTTGTTTGAATGCTTTCTGATATGTGTTGAAGTGTTTTAGAAATACGAGCAAAGTAACAACCTATATTTATTTTAGTAAAATTTTGAGTTTTTCACAAATACTGAATTTCAATTATGCGAACATATCTCCATAATGCAACTTTGTCGCAAGATCAAACTTTCACAAAAACTGTGTCTTAATTTGGACTACTATCAATACAAATTTGAAGATGTATGGTTTTGTTCGAAAAAGAAACAAACTCTCTCATTTGAAATCGATATCTGTTGAATTGAGACTAGATTTGAAGTCTTTATCATCATCAATAGACTGACATACCAATATATTCAACTACTGTAACAATGAAATCGAACTTGAAATTCTTATAAAAATAGTTTATTCTTCGTTTCTTTTAAGAATTACTATATTTTCACTGGTCATCTCAGCTAATTGAAACCTAATTATAGAGCAACTATTCGATGATCAAAATTACATCTGAAAGACCTAGTATTTTTTGAGTTTATATAGCTAAATTATAGGTTTCTTTTTGTAGATTGTATCAAGTTATTGAGGCACAAAACGAATTATATCTCTATAGGAGATTTTAGAAAAAAGGCACTACTAGAAATGTTCAAATTTTAATCATAGAGATGTGTTATTATCTTTCATACTGTATATTGGGTACACTTGCAGAAAAGTCAGAACGAAAGTGACGTGTGTTAAAAAAACAATCCCAACGATTTCTGTTAGTTCTATTATCATGTTGATGAAATCGTATAACGAGAATGACAATCTAAGAAACTGTACATTTGACTATTGCCATAATTATTATCTACAAGATCCGTATAAAAAAATTAAAGATGATAAAGACAGTTAATTTGAGTGCTACATTGGTATCTTAATGACAGTATCATAGATAAGTGTTTTCTTCGTTTCAGTTCAATCACTTTGTGAAAATAACATTTTCCCTCAAAGAACATTCAAGTGCATCCTACATTTTTCTTGTTCTTTCACGTGTTTGCACTCTTTGTCTTCATGTGATAGTGAGCGTGGGTGTCGATATCCGTGCAGTTGTGTATTGAGAAAAACGATACCTTGATCGTTACTTCCGCACCTGTAATTATTTGCGGGCACTTCCACTACCACTATTGTAACAACAACTACTCTATGAACACAACCTAGCTCGATAATATAATAATGTTGTCGATTTCGTGTACTGTTTTCTCTATTCTTTAGTAAATATAGACTGTCACACGTATCTCATATGTATTTTTTTGCAAAAACATGGTAATGTACTACCGCACAGTCTAACAGCGATTATGATTTGAAACGTTTAATTCGGTCTGATACGCTAATTGTGTCTGAAGTGGTAGACAATAGATAGCTGCTCTATAATTAGATTTGAATCGACTGAGATGAGTAGTGAAAATTAGTATCCTGCACGGATACGACTTTTTGCACTCGGATCCGATTCGACACCTTTTCTTTCTACGCAGGCCTGACCCAGAACCGAAGCGCACCCGGAATAGCTGTACCCGGTACTCGATCGGATCCAGTCCGGAGTTAATCCAAATCCAGAAGATATTTCAATTGTAGTACGGCTTTCAAACTTTTACTTTATACCAACAAGAATACGGTTTAGTTTCTTCTATAAATAGCAACAAAAACAAGATTTCATCTCAAATTCGATAAAAAGGCGAGTGAATCAGAAATCATTTGCTGGCTTTCTACTTCTAAAATCCGCTCAGTTTCGCCAAATAACTGTTTGCTTGTTGCTGATGAAGCTGAAATGGAATGTAGTATTGACGAAAAACGGCACACTTATTGATATATAGGTGAATGCTCTTTCCAACATGAAATACATGTTCAGCTTTCTGAAAGTTCATTTTCCTCTCAATATATTTAATTGTTGAATCACGTGATGTTTCAGCATTGGTGGATAAATTTTCCATAAAAACAAATTCCCTTGGTAAAATTAATATTGCTTCTCATTCCTTTAATCTGTTCTCAAGCTCAATTAATAGTCCGATCATGATCGGACCGGCTTCTAATTTTATACTTTTATATTGAGAATAGTTTGAAAAACTCAAATTTTTCTAAACATCAAGATTTGATTAGCTCCCGGATCGATCGCGGCTATGATCTCAAATCGGGTCTCGATCGGACAATTTTTTCCATACCCCTCTAACCGACCAGACTCGGTTGCAGGACACCAGTGAAAATATAGTAATTCTTAAAAGAAACGAAGAATAAACTATTTTTATAAGAATTTCAAGTTCGATTTCATTGTTACAGTAGTTGAATATATAGGTATGTCTGTCTATTGATGATGATAAAGACTTCAAAACTAGTCTCAATTCAACAAATATCGATTTCAAATGAGAGAGTTTGTTTCTTTTTTCAAACGAAAAATTATCGGTACCCTTTCGACCTTGACATGGACATGTCTTCGTTCGAAAAAAAACCATACATCTTCAAATTTATATTAATAGTAGTTCAAATTAAGACATAGTGTTTGTGAAAGTTTGATCTTGTGACAAAGTTGCTTTATGGAGATAAATTCGCATAGTTCAAATTCAGTATTTGTGAAAAACTCAAAATTTTACTAAAATAAATATAGGCTGTTACTTTACTCGTATTTCTAAAACACTTCAACAAATATCAGAAAACATTCAAATAAGAATAAAAATGTAGGCTATTCGATACTCTATTCAACTGCATATGATGCAATTTTTTTCATATTAAACAATAGTTTTCCTAATTTTGCATGATTTTCATACAGATGTATCTTCTCTTAAATAAGGCATATGAAGCTGAAAATTTGTTGATGCATGTATCTCGCTTAGTTCTACAATCATGCCAAATTTCAATGAATTTGAAGACATTTTTTTTAAACGGGTGTCCTTTCATGATAGATTTCAGGTCACCAACTATATCTATGGTGAAATTTTCCCCAAGACTGAACTTCAAAAAATTTTCTCTTAGAAACTGGTTTTTCTAGAGATCCTGTCAAATCTCGATGTAAAAATGTTTAACTTATTATGATTGAGAGATTCTGAAAAAAGATTTGTATCATTTGTAAATGGTTTTGAATTTCTCATTCGGTTATAAGAATATTTGGTCGTTTGTATATTCATACTCCATCACTTTGCTAAAACTAGTCTTTTTTTATCGATATCTCCTCTGAAGAAAAGAGATACACGCGTTCTAATTTTGTAAAATCACATCGCTAACGAATGATTTTGCCTATTTAATAATGTATGATGGAAAAATTCTGCATTAATTTTGTTTCATAGTATAGTATGACAACAACTCGACATGTGGGTTTTGATAGTTATCTTGTTAGAAAAAGGAAAGTTTCCACTACAAAGTTATGTAAAAATCTTTACCAAAGATCGAAAAGTTTTAAGAACGCGTTTGACGAAAAGTATTTTCTACAAGCTTCTGGAATTTAGAAGAAAACTTTCATTTACTAAAAGAAAATTGATTATATTTCTCCTCTTTTATCTGATTGTGTAGCGCTAGGATTAAGCATTGTTAATGAGTAGAAATAAGACACGGTCGTTGCTAGCGATGAATATTCACGGCTGATGAGTTATTTCCGAAAAATAAGATATTTACAACAATTAAAATTCTATATTTTGTATCAAGTTAGAATATTGTGAACGCTCTACGAAAGTACATCATATAAAACTAAATATTAGACATTAGAAGAAAAAACTTCATCAGGCGTTATATAGAGAAAATCATTTTTCTTTCAAATAAAACTTTTTCCTATGAAATCTGTGGTTTGTTTTGCTAACTTATGGCATGAAAGTCTTGGCACAAACTATTTACTCATTCTTCAGCCACTAAAAAACAATTGGTTAAAACTATGAGTAAATTTTGTATAAGTCAAAATTTGTGTCTAGACCAGACAAAATAGCACTACCCTTAGTTTGTATCTTGAAATGGTTGTAACTCAAAATTCTTGTAAAGCGCTAAATTCTATACAAAATTAGATATCACAATAAGCAAAATCTCATCTATACGTTTCTACTACAGAACTAGTTGCCACGAAAATCGGCATTAATCAGAAAATCATTTTTCCACAAATTGCTTTAAAAAAAAAAAAAATTAAAACTAAATAACACAATTCGTACAGAAAAATTTACTGTACCAAGCTATTCTATTAAAGTATTTCGTATTTTGTTCAATCATTATTGTAAAACCATGTGATGATAGTTGCTCAATCTTACCCTAGAAGGAAATTTTCGAACAAATATTCGGAAACAGCCAAAGATTCTAATTTTAACTAACTCTAACCAAGTGTCTGTAATTAGTCGAAAAATGAGTGAACCTATTGTGATAAGACTTTTGCGCTATAGGTTATCCTTTAAAAAGCTCACGTTTCGTTGGTTACACAGACACATAATGCGCTTCACATTACTAATGTTGTGTGACATTATTTTCTAACAAGAAAACTATCGAATCTCCATGATAAGTTATTGTCATGTTATACTAAATAAAAAAAATCGAATGCAGAGCTTTTGCATTATTTGTTAGTTGATAATGTTAAGTTATGAATATATGACTAACTTAAGTATGGTTCTCTGTTGAATTTGAATTTGTGGTTGTTGTTGTTGAAGAGATGAAGCATTGATGAATGATGTTGATTGACTTGTAACAATTTCTGTTCGAATTGGTTGATGATTAACAGTTATGATTTGTGGTTGATGAAGTGTTGTTGTTGTTGGTGATAAAAAAGTTCGGTGTAAAAGTGAATCAGATGGTTGAATACTTGTTTGTGAAACTGGTTGAATTTGTTGTTGTCCAGTTAGAAGATTTGTATTCGATGATGGAGAAACAGCTGCAACAAATGGACGTATACCAGTTATATTCTAAAAATTTTTAGTTAGAAAAGTAACAAAGAAGAAAACATAATTCAATTTACAATTGGAGTTCGAGTTTGTTGTTGTTGTTGATGCTGTCCAAGTAATGATGTTGTTGAACTGATTAATGTTGGTTGAGAAGTTTGTTGTAAAAGATTTATTTTTTGTTGTGTTTGTACTGTTGTATACAATAATGGTTGTTGAACACCTGATATCGATTGTTGACTTAATAGAGATGGATTTACAACAACACGAGATGTTGTTGGCGCTGGTATTGTCATTGCTGTTGAAGTAGTATTAGGAGCATTACTTTTACTTGATGGTAAATTTAATTTTTCTAATAATTCAATTGTTATTGGTTGACCAAATGTATGTTTAACTAATTGACGCATATGTGGTAGCGCTAACTATAAGAAAAATAAAATCTAAATTTTTGCTATTCATATTCAAATTGAATTGTTACCCAGTGATTATAAACTCATAGCCATTCTCAAACAGATATATTAACTTCGGAAAAAAAAATTGTCATATGAATATACAGTACGGTCTTATATGAGCAAAATAAAAAACATATAAAACTAGAACCCATCGAGTGCAAAAATTTCAGATTCAGTCGAACCATACTTTGAATGAAATTTTCTAATCTGATTGAATAGTCGCTCCGAAGATACGAGATACTTTTTTCAGTTTTTTTATATTCGGTGACTATAGTATTCTGCTGATTTCGTAGACGACTAGAGCCCATTAGGTTTGATACAAACCCGATAGATTTTATAAACACAGGCTTTAAAGAAAATGAATAGATTATTTGAAAGAAAAATATCTGTAATTCATATTAAGGATTTCTTTCCAAGCTCATGAACCAATCACCTGGATTGATACTAGATGTTTGAACCTACAAGGATACTATGTTGAGACTAGTAAATATCGAAAAGAGTTTGTCTGCATGAGCCTGTGGAGCTGAATTTTCGATGTGAAATTTTGACCAAGGATAGGTCTAGTGATTCGTAGAATATCCTGAAAGTTTCAACTGAAAAGAATTGTTTTTTTTTGTAAAAATATTGAATTTATAAGAAAACTCAATTTTTTAACATGTCTGTGTCGCAAGTCTATTTTTTTGGAAATTGAATATCTTGGCGAAGAAATATTCCTTTTGACTGAAAATTTTAGGATATTCTACTGATCATCCGATCTATTTATAAGCAAAATTTCAGGTTGAAATTCTATTTTCTAACTTTTCAGTATAAATCTAAAACTGGATTGAAAATTCGTTAAACAGATTATAATTCGACCCAAAAGGCTTATTGAGACGAACCCTTTTAGACTTTTCCTAGTCTCACTGACACATCATTGCAGGTCCAGCATGAGCTCAAATAGTGAGTATCGATTCAGGTGGTTTCCTTCTTAGTATTTATAGAGCACAGCATCGAAAATAACATTTATAATTATCATCTTTCAGTATTATTCTATATGATAATCTCTATCGTAGCAAACCTAATTTCATCAATTATGCGAATCGAAACGAAAGAAGAGTATAATATATCGAATGAGTACTCAGTCAGACTTGAGACTAGTGTAGTATTTAGAAGTGATCATTTTGAATATTATTTATTAAAATTCGTCCGCGTTAACGAAATCTTCAAAAGTTATGTTACACTACAACAACGACAAAATTTATTCAGCAATTTTTGATTGCGAATAACTTTTGTTAAGAACAAGAGAATTGTGACTTTCACTGTTTGAAAGATGGTGTGTCACTGCATGGTTCCATATATGATTCAACAATATCAATTGATAACCGAATTGTCAGTCAGTAGTCTTTAGAAAAATATTGATAGCACAATGAAGATGATACAAAAATTTATTTCTAAGAAATACTCTAGATCCACATCCAAACCCGAAATTTCTATCCGAATCTATTTAAAGGTTATTGGTGCCACGCTAGACGATACGAGTGTCGATGTAAATGGTTAGTACGCAAGTTGAACATATTTCTTAGAATTAAACTTCTATGTCATCTTTAGAGAGCTATTAGTATTTCTCTGAAGATTGTTGATTGACAATTTGGTCATCAAACGTCAGTGTTCAATTATACAGGCAACCATGCAATGATAAAAGCCTACGGAATACCTTTAAATTATCCTGTATATATTTTATATCGGATAAAATACATGAACTGATTCTACTTATAAATCATTTAATTATCTTACTCTTCTCTCTTTCTATATTTCTCTTTAATATGAAATGAAATATTACTTTAAAAAATGGCACAAGTGATGTATGTGGTTGTGATTTATAAAGTGTATGTAATCGTTGAGTAAATGATTCTGGATCAATAGTTCCATCTAAAAGATCTTGTATACATGATCGAACCATGGGTAATTTTTCAGGTGCTTGTTTTTCAGCAAGTTTAAGTAATGTTGTTAAAAATGTTCGACATTTAGCAACAAAATCATTTATTTGAACATCAGTAAATTTTGGTGTTTGTTGTGCTGTTACTGTTTGACGAACAACTGGTTGTGCAACTATTTTAGTTGGTAAAATTGATGATTGTTGTTGAATAACTGGAGAAGAACAGTCTAAGAAAACCAAAAAGGTAAAGAATTCGTTTTTCGTGTAGATTTAAATTGCACTTATTGTTTTTTTTAATAATCTTACCCCTTTGAATAGTTGATGCATATTGAAGTTTTGGTGATGATTGTGTTGTATTATTTGTCCACAGAGTTTGTGGTGTAAATTGATTTTGTGTTGATATTGGTGTATTAAGACGAACAATACTTGTAGGTGTTGTTATTGTTCCACTAGACATTGATTGGTGCTGTTGAATAAATGTTCCATTTTGTGTATTTGTATGTCGCATATTTTGTGTCGTATTTCCAATATTATTTATAGTTAAATTATTACTAACTGATTGAGTAAATAATAATGTTGTCTAATAAATAAGAAATTGTTTTTTTGAAAATCAATTTCTTTTCAATTGACTTACTGGTGTTGGTAAAACTTGAAGTTTACTTGTATTAGAAAATGAAGATGGAGATGAGGTCATTGTTAAGAACTAAAGGAAGAAATTAATTGAAATTTTATGATTATTATTGAAAAAAACAAAATAAACAGGAATATAGTTGAACGAATGAATAATGCCGTGTACACAGGAAAGATTACTTAAGGACAACTAAACTATATTACTGTATGTATGACGACAATGGATAAATCTCGACAACCAATCGATAAGTAATATTCGATAGATGGAGCTATTGAACAGGTTTGTCTTTTAGCATCCTATGAGCTGAAAAAAATTCCATTCATTGAAAACGACAACAAGCCTTTGCCTTTTCGGAGGCTATTATCGATGTAGGATATTTATCAAAGGTATTTCCATAAGCTTTCCAAAGGATGATAGATCAACTTTATAATCATCGATCGAATGCAGATATGGCAGTAACAGTAAAATTTTAGTCTTCGGAAAATTGACGAGAAAACGTTTCTAAGTGTAAAATAATTTTTGTGCCAGTTCTATATGTATCGTATAGGTTCTAATGAGTTATGAATATCTTGAAAAGAGTCCTGACTCATAGCTTAGAATTGTCGAATATACTTTATTTTTTTAGCAAGTGCTGTGATTCCCTTCACGGGCATCTGGAAAACTGAGTTCAAAATTTCGACTTAAAATTTTGTACAGAAACAGACCTTAACGAGAATAGATTTCTGAGAAAGTTTGAAATTTTTTGATTATTTTTATTCTGAAATAAGAATATCAGACTTTGTTGTTGTATATGAGCGGTATACAAAACATGCTTTTTACCATAGCCGTATCTTAAGAAAGAAGAAATAAAAATATTTCAAAACTTTTACTATAAACTATTATCATTAGGCTCTGTCTCTTTATGCAAGGTTTTGAGTCAACAGTCGAAAATCAATTTTCCTGATATTCCTAAGGGCGAGGCCGTGGCACTTATTAAAAAACTGACATAAAAGTGCAGTTTCTGGGTAGCAATAAGCTAAGAGCCTACATATGATGCACATAACCTCAATGCGAAACTGATTTAACAATTAGAAACATTTCTTCGTGAACTTTCTTAAATTTCCTATGAGACCACCATTGACATTAACTTCTAATACTAGCTCTCTTTAGAAAATATCAAAATATAAAAGTGTTTGCTCATAAAATAATACTCTTTACCGATAAATGAATTATTAGTGTATGTTAGGAATGTGTAAAGTCGGTGTAAATATTGCGTAGTGACTTACCGACACAAGCTCCACAAGTGTCTGTTGATTATAGTGACATCGGTGTTCACTGATAGAGATAAACAAGTTAGTCATTTTTCGACTCAATTGATGTAAAATATGAATTATTTTTATGAAAAAATGATCATACCAGTTACATAGGCAAAGGATCTCAACCGTCTTTCACTCTAAATATCCAAAGCTAAGAATAAAAATGTGGCTGTTACAAGAAAAAACTTTTAATTGATTATATATTTCGTTACTATAAAGAAAAATTGTCATTCGACTACTTGTTCTGTTGAATTTGGAGTCAACAGTTTTCATTAAACTAATGAACGCTGGTCGTTCTACAACTACTAACAGCAAACCCAATTTAACAATAAAATCATTCACGATAGTCGAGAATAGTATATATTGTTATTCGTTTGTTTTTTTGTAAAGAAATAGTTTTAAATTCATATAATGATATCTTAAAAGCTTCATTATAATATTCTCGGGCATGCCGAGTGGAATTTGAAGTAACGTATCAAAAGTTCTTTTTGGCTTATCACAAAATAGATATTCAGCTGATCATCTGTTTTTTTTTCTTTATCATATTGATGATCTTTGAAGAACTTCTCACGAGTAGTTGTAATTTTAGGTATTGTTAAACTTAATAAAGAAAACCTAGTAGCAATGGCTGAAATGATGGGATCTATTACTTGTATTTGGATGTCGTCTTGAGATGAAGACAAGTTAATTGTTGAAAAAATTATTTTCTTTATTCATAATAAAGTTGACTATGGTTTACTAGAGTATGCAATAAACTTATTATTTTAATACAAAGAAATCAAATCAACATATTTTCTCTAAAAAACTTATTGGGAAAGGCAATGGCCAATAAAACTTTAAAAATGAAAGATTTTCTACGTATTCCCAAATCATTCACTTTATTTCAACATGAAGTCATTCAATGAAAATATTTCAAAATGATTCGACTCTTAAAAAAATTATAGTTTAAATAAATAGCAAAGACTGTAACGTGCAGACCAAAAAGAAATCTACATGAGTAATTAACAGTGGTCGCTTCATCGAGGATGTAACATTTCCTCAATTGTGAAAAATTGTTATTACATTAATTGTAGAACTACTATTCTCTTTTTGTATTCTGTTAGAAAGATGTTTTCTCTTTGTTAAAAATCGTGACACTTCATAATGTTGACTGCTTCAAGTCACCATCGATAACTAGATTTTGACATTCTCCATAGCACGGTGCGTTCTTTTGTGTTGAGTAGAGCAATTGTTATTATTTTGTTCCAGTTGATCGTTTCAAGTATATTCATTTTTCTGATGTTCAAAAGTTCAGCATGTGAGTTGCTTTTATGATACATATGACTCATGCAAGAACTTAAGAACTTATCTATAGAAAGAAAGTCATGCAGTATGAACGTATCTTGAGATTTGCACATGTCAAGCACGTGATAAAAAAAAAGTTCAACTTGGGCTATATATATTGTTTTTTTTCCTGACTTAACTTGCCCATCTCTGTTTACTACTGTATGTTCCAATACTTCAGTGACATCGGTGGTCAGTAAAGTGAAACCAAATATTCCAGCTCTATATGACAAATGTGAAAGCAATGAATAATACGAAGACCTAAATTTTCGGAAAAAAATACTACATTATGGATAAGTTCATACCAATAATCATTATCCACAGTTCCATTGATATTTTCAGTCTCGAACATTATTTATGACTATGCAAAAGTTAAAAGTCAATGATTGATAGATAGTGAGACGGATCATTATAATCAATGAGAACTACACAGAATAAAAATATTGTTTTTGCATATGTATTATAAAACATTCTTTAGTAATAAACTAATACAAGTTAGGATGAGCTTTATGAGAATGATGTATTGGAAAACTAGGACATGTTACTTTTTTGCTCTAAGAAAATAGACATAATTGAGTAAAAGTGCATACTTCTCAATATGTTTTTATCTGACAATTATGCGCAATAAATAAGTGTATCAAAGAGGATTTTCAGATTGAAAACACTATTGCATGTATTAGTTTATCTCTTCATTTTCTTCAGGGATATTCATACAAATTTTAAGATAATATGGCAAATATGTGTCTATTTTACAGTATGTTATCATAACTGATTTGATTATTGTCGTAGATAGATGACTTGATCATATAATATTAATACGGTAGTTTTTCATTAAAAGCAACAATTTGCAAGCCAGTATAAGATCTCCTTTATTTTCAAGTTGACATTACTAATATTAATAGATCATAATGAATAACGTGAAACAAAGTAGATCAGTCACGCATGTGTTTTTATATCTTAAGTTACTTTTTAAATGTTATTCTCATGCAAACGTTATTTTTCTGACATTTAATAATGGATATGGTCGAAACTTTAAACTATATATCTCGACAAATTAATATTTATTTAGGTATAATTATGTTTGTTCTCGGTTTGATTGGATGTTTATGGAATATACTCATATTTCGTCATCACTCTCTTCGTTTAAGTTCATGTTGTGTATATATGTCATTCGGTTCTGTAGCTAGTTTAATTCAGATAATATTTGGTTTATTAATGCGAATTTTAACTGATGGTTTTGAAATTGATTGGACAATCACTAATATAGGATGGTGTAAAATTCGAAGTTATATAACACAATGTGCGTCTTTAACAGCTCTCTCATGTTTTGTATGGGCTACAATTGATCGATTTTTGTCAACGTGTCGTCAAATAAAATGGCGTTATTTCAATTCAGTATCCATAGCAAAAATAGTTTGTTTACTAACAATGATTATATGGATGTTAACAGCTATTCCAACTCTTATTTTTACAAAACCTATACAAACGAGACAACTTTGTGGAAGTTCATCATTTATATATTCGAAAATATTAACTTATTGTTTTAATCTATTTTGTTATGGAACATTTCCATGGTTATTTATGAGTATATTTGGAATATTAACATTAAAAAATCTTCATCACACTCATACTCAACGTATTAATCCATTGCGATCGACAATGTTAACACGTATGGCACGTATTAATAATCAATTAACATCAATGTTGTTTTTACAAATAATCATATCTATTATATCGTCAATACCTTATTGTGTACAAAATATTTATGAAAATATAACACAAACAATGATTAAAACTGAATATCGTCGAGCACAAGAAAATCTTTTTCTTCAAATAGTTCGCCTTGCTTTCTATTTTAATTATATATCAATGTTTTATGTAAATTATTTATCATCACCAATATTTAGACGTTTACCAAAAAAAGTTTTAATCAATTTATTTAAGAATAAAAATGATATATCAAACGAAATAGCAATAATTAATCACCAATCAAGTGGAACAATAATACAACGAAATAAATTAAAGATGTTGACTGTTCAAACACCTTATACAATATCGCATGTTTAAGTTACAATTCTTTTTACGAGAACTAAAATTATTCGAGAAACTTTGTATAATCGAGCTATTTCCAACATCGTTGGAATGAACGAATGTTTGAAAAATTTAATAAAGAAATATTGAAAACAATGTGACTACTATCCATCTCAAAATATAATGCGCTCTACTGTTTTCGAGTAATTTTTGATAGAAAGATTATAGAGACTTGCGGCTTTCGTCATTCAAAAGAGAAAATCCAGAGCCATCGAAGCATATTGAAATGTGATTGATCGGCAATCGATCATTTCAGATCAGTTCTTAATGAAGATTTTTCGAAAATAATACTTTGAAGCTATTACGCTTTTGATATAAACTTTCAACGTGACTAATCGGCAGAGAAATTGCATC